GGGTCGGCCGCATGCAAGGCAAATGCCCTACCTGCTGTGCTATCGCTCCAGCCCCTCAGAGGTCATTCTTGCAAGGGCTTGGGAGACCATGTGGGTCTCAAGGGATCAAATCCAGGCTGGCTTCATGCAAGGACCATCCCAGGGTTCCTACCTTGCCAGCCCAGCCCATGTCGCTTTGGGAAGAGACCTTACTCTGCGGCTATGCCTGGTTCTGTGCTCAGGGACCGTGCCCGGAGGTGCCCAGGAGCTGGAATGCTGGTTCCAACTGCTACCACACACTAGATTGGCACCTTTGGCCTCTGTGACCTCCTCCTGGCACTGCGGCCCACCCAGCTAGCCTGCTCATGGGAGCTCCTACTTGAGTACTCCCCACTGCCAGAAACCATTTCCGGGTCGGTCAGCCGGTTTCCCATTTGCTCCCCTCCCCGAAAGGTGAGAGCCCTAAGGACCCCACCTTGTCCCTCTATGTCCCCAGTCCCCAGTCCCTGGAAGGTATTGGTACTGGGGATCCAGGGAGCAGGGCTCGATCAATACCTGCTGCATATTGGGGCTGGAGCGATAGCACAGCGGGGAGGGCGTTTGCCTTGCACACGGCCAAGCCAGGTTCGATATCCAGCATCCCATATGATCCCCGAGCACCGCCAGGAGTAATTCCTGAGTGCATGCATGAGCCAGGAGAAACCCCTGGGCATCTCCAGGTGTGACCCAAAAAGAAAAAAAAATACCTGCTGCATGATGTTGAGGCGATACCCCACATTCCCTAGATGAGACATCGGGGAGGCCTGATCAGAGAAGAGAAGTGGATGCTGAGGCCAGAAGGCCTGTAGCAGTCCCCAAGGAAGAGACACGCTGACGCAGTCACACACAGAAAAGATGTAGAGAAGGGGTCAACATGATAGCACAGTGGGGAGGGCATTCACCTTGCACAAGGCCGGCCCAGGTCCAATCCCCAGCATCCTACATGGTCCCCTGAGTCCTCCAGGAATAATTCCTGAGTCAGAGGCAGGAGTAACTCCGGAGCATCTCCAGATGTGGCTCCAAAGCAAAGAACAAAACAAAACAAAAAATGTGGCGAAGTTCCCCAGCCTGGCACGTTACACGGTTTGCAGGGCAGGGGCCACCAGGGGCAGGCCCGGAGGCCACGTTGCTCTGTGAGGGGTCTGTGCTCTCCATGGGTAAACACTCAAGAGGGCAGCCCCCAAAGGTGTTGACTTGAGCACTTGATTGATTGATTGATTTTGCATTTTTGGTCACATCCGGTGATGCACAGGGGTTACTCCTAGAACTACACTCAGGAATTACTCCTGGCAGTGCTTGGGGGACCCTATGGGATGCTGAGAATCGAACCTGGGTTGGCTGCATACAAGGCAAACGCCCTACTCACTGTGCTGTTATTCCAGCCCCAACTTGAGCACTTTAGAAAGGGCCTGAAGGGGACTGAGAGATAACACAGCAGATAAGGCTTTGCACATGGCTAACCTGGGTTTGATCACCAGAATCCTGAGCACTGATTCTGAGCAGTGTCAAGAGTGATTCCTGCGTGCAGAACCAGGAGTCACCGGGCGTGGCCCGACACACATACACACCCCTCACAAAAGAAAGAAAAGTCTTGAAGGGTGTGTGCAGAATGGCTTCCAGAGAGAGTGCCCCGGGAGGGATCTAACACCACCAGCAGGTGACAGTCCTGAGAGCCAGGGGCCCCCGCGCAGGGGTCACCATCGCTCCGGGGAGTGCAACTTTGTCCATAGTCAGCCCTCTGTGTGAGGCCCTTACGCACAGCGTGTCCTTACCTGCAGGAAGGCTAGCAGAGGGGAAGCAGGTTTTGGGGTTCAATTTTCTTTTGTTTTTGATTGTTTTGCTTTTTGGGTCATACCCAGCTGATGCTCAGGGGTTACTCCTGGCTCTGCACTAAGGAATCACTCCTGGCAGTGCTTGGGGGACCCTATGGGATGCTGGGAATCGAAACCGGGTCGGCCGTGTGCAAGGCAAACGCCCTACCCGCTGTGCTCCAGCCCCTTTGGGGTTCAGTTTTGGACTGAAACCCCAGTTTGTTTGCCAGTTTGTTCTGGGATGAACAGGAGTGGCTTTTGGGGGAGTGGCCAGGAGGACTTTGGGTCTCACTGTAGCCAGCTGTGTGCATGTGTGCATGTGTGAGCATTCCGTGCCTGTGTGTGTGTGTGTGTGTGTTTACACATCTGTGCATGTCCCAGTGACCATGAGCAAGAGACAGGGAGCAAAGCCTAGATCCTTCCCGGAGGTTGGAAAGAGACAAGGCTGTATCTGGGGGTTGTGGGCTGTTAGGTGTCCACAGCGTTTTTTTTTTGTTGTTGTTGTTCATTTTTAGGCCTTACCTGACCATGCTACTGGCTCTGAGCTCAGCGCTGCTTCCCAGCCGGGCTCCGGGGACTGACCATGGGTCAGCTGCGAGCAGGACAAGTGCTCTACGTTTGAAGATTGAAGTCATTGGAATGTGGCAGGGTGCAAAAGAGGGAGAGGTGAGTTCCACAGGGCAGGGAGACAGCTTCCTGGAGCCGGGTGGGGGGTTGGGGGGTGGGGAGGGTCCCTGGTGAGGTGCAGTCCCCCCTGCAGTGACAACCAGGTGGATGGGGCCACTGAGGGAGTGCTGGAGGCTGGAGGTAAGCTCCAGGTGGTCAGGGGATGGCAGGGTACGCTTTTCTTCAGAAAGGAGGAGGAGACCAGAGGATAGTACAGAGCATTGGGGTGTTTGCCTTGCACGCGGCCAACTGGGTTTGTTCACCAGCCTCCCAGATGGTCCCCTGAGCACTGCCAGGTATAACCCCTGAGCACTGCTGGGTGTGGCTCCCCATCAAACATAAAGGAGGAAGAGGGGCGGGGGAGGAGCACAGGCTTCGCATGAGGGTGGCACCATGTGGCAGAGAGCAGAGCAGGCCTCCAGCCCTGCTGAGGTGGCCCCAGACTCAACGAGGAAGGTGCTGGGGTGGGGGACTCCCCAAATGTGTAAGCATGACGTTAAGGAAGGGAAGCCCCTTCTGGAGCCGGGGGTGCTTGGTGATTAGGGCTCTGCACTCAGGAATCACTCCTGGCAGGCCCTGGGGGCCCTGTGGGATGCTGGGGATGGAACCTGGGTGGGCCGCATGTAAGGCAAAGCCCTTCCTGCTGTCCTGTTTCTCTGGTTCCTGCCTCAGCCTTTTTTTTTTTTCTTTTTGGGTCACACCCAGCGATGCACAGGGGTTACTCCTGGCTCTGCACTCAGGAATCTCCCCTGGCGGTGCTCAGGGGACCTTATGGGATGCTGGGAATCGAACTCGGTTTGGCTGCTTGCAAGGCAAAAGCCCTACCCACTGTGCTATTGCTCCAGCCCCTGCCTCAGCCTTTGGACTTCCATTGCAGGCCAGTGGCGGGAAGCGGCTCAGCCTGGAAGCTTCGACTGAGGTCTGGGGACCTCGGCAGCTGGCTGGAGAGGGATTCCCCACCATGCCCCACAGAAGACACCACTGCAAGGTAAGTTCAGCCCCTGCCTCCACCATCAGTGAGACTGTGCACAGGCTACCGTGTCCCTGACCTTGGACAGCAGCTGAAGTGCCCCCAGAGGTGCCAGGGACAGCGGGGACAGCGGACCTTGAATTCGGGGAGCCTGCCATCTTGTCCAGGGGCCTGGCCCGCTGAGGAATGGGCCCTGTGTGCCAGGCTCTGGACAGGAAAGCGCCAAAGGCCTTTGCTTTGACCCGAGGAGATGGTGGTGGGTGGTGGCGGGGTATTTGCACCCCAGCGGAGCCGGGGACCGCCCGCAGAGAGTGGTCTAAGGCTAGGGCTGCTTCCAGTCCCCAGATGGACCGCGGTTCTAGGGCCTCCAGGCCCTGCCGCTTTTCTGGTTTTCTGGGGCGCACCCTAGTTCCGCACAGTCTAAACATGAGCTTTGCGCGGCTGGAGCGATAGCACAGCAGGTAGGCGTTTGCCTTGCACGCGGCAGACCCAGGTTCAATTTCCAGCATCTCATATGGTCCCCTGAGCACCGCCAGGAGTAACTCCTGAGTGCAGAGCCAGGAGTAGCCCCCTGAGTATCGCTGGGTGTGACCCAAAAAAGCAAAAAAACAAACGAACAGGGGCTGGAGCAATAGCACAGCGGGTAGGGCGTTTGCCTTGCACGCAGTTGACCTAGGTTCGATTCCCAGCATCCCATATGGTCCCCCGAGCACCACCGCCAAGAGTAATTCCTGAGTGCATGAACCAGGTGTAACTCCTGTGCATCGCCGGGTGTGACCCAAAAAAAGCAAAAAAAAAAAACCAAAACCAAAAACAAACAAACAAAAAATATATAAACATGGGCTTTGCTCCTCGCAGGACTGAGGCCAGACCCGCGCTCTGTGAGTGAAGCTTGGGGCCTCGAAGTTCCGTCCGGGCCTGCCAGGGGGCGTCCGAGAGCAGGGAAGGGCGGCCCGGGAACCAGGGGAGGTGGACAGCGACCCCCGGGCTGGACGGTGAAGGCCCAAGGGTGGCAAGGCGGGGTCAGGGCATCGGAGCTCAGGGCGGCGGGCGCGCGGTCAGCCTGATTCTGGGCCCTGGAGCGCTCAGCGGGTCAGAGTCCGAGTCTCAGACGCCGGAGCGAGGCCGGCCCCCGAGCCCCGCCCCGCCGAACCCCCCCAACCCGGCCCCCCTTCATCCCTGCAGGGGGCCAGCCCGCTGGCGGAGGGGGCGTGGCTACTCCTGGGCCGCGCTGGGACAGGTCGCCGAGACCCGGGTAGAGAGGACACTTGAGAACCCACGCGTAAGGGCGAGGGGAGTGGGAGGCCAGAGTTGGGGGATTCCACTCCCCTTGCCCCAGCCAGCCTTCAGGCCCCGCCCCTCGCTCAAGGCCCCGCCCACCCGAGAGACCACGCCCACGTGAGACCACGCCCATCGGGCAAGAGCCGTGACTTTCTCCCTCAGAGCCCCGCCCACCAGTCCCCGCCCACTGGCCCGGGCCCCGCCCACCGGCCCGGGCCCCGCCGCGCCCAGAGCCCCGCGCCCCGGGCGCCGCCGCCCCGGACCCCGCCATGCGCGCTGCCCGCGCCGCCCCGCTGCTCCCGCTGCTGCTCCTGCTGGGGCCGCGGCTGGCGGCTGCGGGTGTGGCCGAGCCGCAGCTGCCCGCCGTGGTGCTCGCCGTCGTGGCCCGCAATGCCGAGCACTCCCTGCCCCACTACCTGGGCGCGCTGGAGCGGCTGGACTACCCGCGGGCCCGGCTGGCCGTGTGGTGAGAGACCCGGGGCGCGCACGGACCCCCGCGGGGGACCCCCCCTGGCCTGCACACGCGCCCCTGACAGCTTGGGGGAACCGGCCGGGCCCGCGCCCCGCGCCCGCAGCCGGGCATCCAGACCCGGGGCCTGCGCTGGGCTCGCCTGGCCCGCCACCCCGGGGGGGGGGGGGTGGTCCCACGTGGCAAGCCTGGGGTCCCTGGAGAGCCCCTCCGGCGTGCTGTCAGTCCCGGGCATCCCTGCCCCGTTGCAGGGGCCTCAGTCCCCCTCCCCCCTGCGCGGCCGGCTGGAGCCTCTGGGTCTGGGCCGGACCTTCAGCGGGATCCGAGGAGGCCAAGTGTGACCTAGAACAGGGAGGGGCTGGGGCTGAGGTCGCGAGGTGGCCACGACCCTCATGGGCCGCCCGGCCGCACTGCCCTGGCGGGTGGAGCTGTCGCTGCCCACAAGGGCCAATTTGGGAGCCTCTGGGTTTCCTCCCTGGGACCTGACACGCACTTAGGGCTGGGGCTGGGCGCTGGCTTAAAGGGGCAGCCTCGCCTGAGACTGGGGCCTCCTTGAGGACACAGGCGCTGCACTCGCGGGGGCCACGCTGGGTGGGGCTGGGACCCACTGTCTGTCGCTGTGGCGCCGAGGCGAATGCATCTCTGTCTCCCATGGGCCCAGCCCACCTGGGACGGTGCCACCGGGAGGGGGTGAAGCCACAGACCTGAGACCTGTCCTGGGTTTGTATCACCTGCTCTGGCCACTCATAGGCTGCTCTCTCAGCACCCTGGCCTGGGCAGGACAGCCCAGAGCACTGAAGTGGGGTGCAGAGCCCAGAGAGGGCTGGGGCGGGGTAGAGTCACACAGCATTCTGGGGGGCTGCAGTACCCCCCCTGCCTGATCCCCTTCATCACGCAGCCCGGGTGCTGGGGAGTTCAGGTCCAGCTCAGGGGCTTTGCTGCCAATCCGGGGTCACCCCTCTCACCTTTCTGTTCCCCTGTGCCTGCAGGTGTGCCACAGACCACAATGTAGACAACACGACGGAGATGCTGCATGAGTGGCTGGCTGCCGTGGGCCCTGACTACGCAGCTGTGGTCTGGAGGCCCGAGGGGGCGCCCAGGTGGGGATCCGGGGAAGGTGGGGAGCACTGGCAGGCAGCCGGGGCCCTCAGACCTTCAGCGCGCATCCCCTCATCTCTCTGTCCCCCAGGGCCTACCCAGACGAACAGGGTCCCAAGCACTGGACCAAAGAGCGGTACCAGTTTCTGATGGAGCTGAAGCAGGAGGCGTTGACCTTCGCCAGGCGCTGGGGGGCCGACTACATCCTGGTGAGAGGCTCCGACTGAGGGCCAGGTTTCTCAGGGGTGCGGTGGGGCCCCGGATCCCATAGGCCAGTCGGGCTGAGAGCCCAGCCTGAGCCTGCCATGCTCGCTCTCGGACCGCCAGGCCCAGGGCTGAGCCCCCCAGACACCGCTGGGAGGGGGCTCCCTGGAACAGAACCCACCCAGCTCCGACACGGAGCACTTAGGTGTGTGCTGGGAGCTGCGCTGAGCTGGGTCTCTGAGCCGGACGGAGCCCCCAAGGTCTCTATGCCTGCACCTCGGCCAGAGTGTGGACCAGTACCGCTGAGCTCTGTGTGTGTGTGTGTGTGTGTGTGTGTGTGTGTGTGTGTACGTGCGCGCGCGCATGTGCGTATCTGTGTGTGTACATATGCATGTGTGTGCATGCATGTGTGTGAGTGCACACGCGTGCATGTAAGATGTCAGGGACTGAACCTAGAATCTCACACTTGCAGAGAGAGCACTGTATGGCTGAGCTCCATGCCTGGCCTGAAACAGCTCTGGGCCTGTTCCCAAAGTGGGTAGGGTCTCGGTGGTCCTTAAAGATGCGGCCTAGGTCTGATCTCTGCTGGGCGGGATGTTAGGGATATTACTTCCCTTCCTCTCTTCCTTCCTCCGTCCCTCCTTCTCTCCTTCCCTTCCTCCCTTCTGCCACACCTGGTAGTATTCAGGGCTTACTCCTGGCTCAGTGCTCAGGGATTAATCATGGCAGGCTCAAGGGGGACCCTCTGTGCGCTGCGGGAACCCGCATCAGCTGCACGCAAGGCAAGCGCCTGTCACTACCTGCCATCTCCCGGGGCTCTGGCCTTCCCTCCCTCCCTCCCTCCCTCTCAGACAGTCTGGGCGGGTCCCTGTGGCACATGGGTTGGGGTACTGCCACCCGAGCAGGCTGGGACTAGCCACGCTTCCCCCCACCCCCAAGTTTGCAGACACAGACAACATCCTGACCAACCCCCAGACACTGCGGCTGCTTGTGGGCCGGGGCCTCCCCGTGGTGGCGCCCATGTTGGACTCACAGACCTACTACTCCAACTTCTGGTGTGGGATCACCCCGCAGGTGAGGCTGAAAAGGGCGTCATCAGAGTCTCTTGGGTTTGCTTTTTTTTTTTTTCCCTGGGGGAGGGTGTGTGTGTGTCACACTCAGCCATGCTCAGGGGTCATTCCTGGCTCTACACTCAGGAATTCCTCCTGGCTGTGCTCGGGGGACCCTATGGGATGCCGGGGATCAAACCTGGGTCGGCGTGTGCAAGGCAAACGCCCTCCCCGCTGTACTATGACTCCCGCCCATGTGTTTTGTTTTGTTTTTTTTGGGAGGGGAACCACACCCTGCAGTGCTCAGGGCCGACTCCTGGTGGGCATCGGGGAGACTCTATATGGTGCTGTGGGGATCGAACCTGGGTCGCCCTGTGCGAGGCTAACGCCCTCCCTGCTGTACTGGCGCTCGGGGCCATGGTTTGGGAGTCATTGGCCCGGGTCGGGGGGGACCTGTGGGGGGCAGCAAGGGGGACTGCAGAGCCCAGAGGCCTGCCCTTCCCTAGGGCTACTACCGACGCACGGCCGAGTACTTCCCCACCAAGAACCGCCAGCGCCGGGGCTGTTTCCAGGTGCCCATGGTGCACTCAACCTTCCTGTTGTCCCTGCGGGCCGAGGGGGCGGACCGGCTCGCCTTCTATCCCCCGCACCCCAACTACACCTGGCCCTTCGACGACATCATTGTCTTCGCCTATGCCTGCCAGGCGGCTGGTGAGGAGGAGCCTCTGGGCCTCCATCTGTGCTGTTCCCCCTTCCCTCCTGCACACCCTTCCTACTTGGCAGCGGTTCCACTCCAGCCGCCCTCACCCACCCTGAGCATCTGAGCATGTCCTTCCTCTGCCTGTCCCCCCCCCCCCCCCCCAGTCCTTCCCCACCGCTGCATCTAACATGTGCTTGGGAACACTGGCATGCCTCGGGGCCTGGGAAGACAGTAGTGAGGAAAACCCAGCCCTGTCCTCCTGGGGCCTGTCCGGTGCCCTCAGAGGTCCCACAACTCAGCGACTTAGTGTACCACTAAGAGTTCCAGGTGCTTTGAGTCCGGGGAGCCTTCCTGGAGGAGGGGACCCTGGGTGCTGGATCTCAGGCATGTTGCAGGCATTAGCAAGGCACGCATAATGAGAAGGAGCATTTCAGGCTCTGGGGCCAGCAGGTGCAAAGGCCCTGAGGTAGCAGGGAGCAGAGGCAGGAGCACAGTAAGCAATGGGCGGGTGTGGGGGAGGTAGGGGCAGACCAGGCCCGTGAAGGTGGGCAGGTGCTCACCTGGTGGACCCGCCCAGCAGGCCTCTGCTCTCCTCAGAATGGTAAGCAGTAGCCCCGTGGACTGGATCCACTCTGGGAATATCACTCCAGTCATTTGCTTTGATTTTTCCCATTTACTTTTGGGTTTTGGGTTTTGTACCCAACAGTGCTTAGGTGCTACTCCCGGTTTGGTGCTCAAGGGTCTCAGCCTAGCGCGACTCTAGGAGACCATGTGGTTTCAGGGATCAAACCCAGGCCTCCCAGGTGCAGGGAGCTCAGCCTGTTGCCCCAAGAAAGTGGGGAGGTCAGTCGGTTCCCCAAGACAGAGACTAATGTGCAGGGGCTGAGGGGTGGCCCAGTGAGACCGGGGGTCCCGTGCAGGGCTGTGGGAGGGGTGGATGGGGGAGGACCTAGTGGTGGGGGCATTTCATGGGGCTGGAAGTGATGGAGACCAGGAGGCGGCGACCTTGAGCAGGCGCGGTGGGTGCAGATGGGATTCTGAGGTGGGGGCAGGTGGGGTGAGGGCAGACAGCGGTGCCCAGGTGGTGCCATGCAGGGCCTCGGCGTGGTCCCCAGGGTCCCAGGCCCCCTGCACCCGCTGTTTGTGTTCCAGGAGGAGTGGGCGGGTCCGAGGGAGCACTCAGAGGCCAATGCACGCGCTGCCCGCAGGAGGACAGGGTCTGGTCCCTGGAGTCGTGTGGTGGTTTTTTTTTTTTTTTTTGGTCACACCCGGCGATGCTCAGGGGTTACTCCTGGCTGTGCACTCAGGAATCACTCCTGGCAGTGCTTGGAGGACCCTATGGGATGCTGGGAATTGAACCCGGGTCGGCCGCGTGCAAGGCAAACTCCCTCCCCGCTGTGCTATTGCTCCGGCCCCCCAACCGTGTGGTGGTTTTTGCACTGTGAGGGCGACCCCAGAGCAACACGCTGGACGTGATCCCCGAGCACTGCCAGGTTTGACCCCCAAACCAGAAAAGAGATGATTAGAAAGTGGAGGGAACTGTGAGGCAGCGAAGCGTCCGCGTCCCCTGCTGGGGGCCCCGTGCCCACTCGCCCGGTCCGTCAGCCCCGAGATGGGACCTTGGGGGTGACGCTCAGTTTCCCCTGCTTTGGGCCTGCACCAGGGTGAGCGGGTTCAGCCTCTGCAAATAGGTGTAGCTGAAGGTCAGGTCAGGAAGGAGGAAGGGCCAGGGACGGACGTGTGACGTGGCCACAGAGCCCCCGGCCTGGACTCGGGTTCCCAGGCTGCTCCCATGAGAGTCCAGCACTGCACTCGGGTTTGCTACAGGGCAGATTGGGGCCTGCAGGGATGCTGGGGGGCGGTCTGCACAAGGCAGGGTGATGGGAAGAGGTGGGAGAGACAGCAAGTGGGCTGAGCCTGTCTGCAACCCCCGCAGTGCGGGGGGCATAGGAGCCCCGGGTCTGTTGAAGGAAGGAAGGACCCTTGCAGGGAGAGGGTCGTGTGCATTCAGGCCAGAACCTTCCTCACTCACTTCAGGACATTCAACTGAGCCTGGGACGCCCCCCACGCATTGCTTCATCTCCCCTCTCCCTGGCGGGGGGTGGGTTCTCGGGACACTCAGCTGAGGCTAGGACGCCCCCCACCTGTTGCATCATCTCCCCTCTCCCCAGGGGTCTCGGTTCACTTATGCAACGAGCAGAGATACGGCTACATGAATGTGCCTGCGGGCCCCCACCAGGGCCTGGAGGACGAGAGGGTCAACTTCATCCACCTCCTCCTGGAGTCCCTAGGTGAGGCCCAGCCTGGCTCCTCCCACCTCCCCCTGCAATGTTGGCCCCCCCGCCCCTGCCTCTACCCCTTCCCTGGGCTTCAGTTTCCCCAGGTCCACTGCAGGGGCAGGTGGGTTCTGTGCTCTGCCGAGGGGGAGCGGGGACCCCGGGGCTGCTGCCGGCCAGCGATGGCTCCTGATAGGGGGTGCCTTCCTCTGCAGTGGACGGGCCCCCCATGTGGGCCTCGGCACATGTGTCCCGGCCCCCGAAGAGGCCCAGCAAGATGGGGTTTGATGAGGTAAGTGCCTCCCCGTCCAGCATGCAGGACGCGACCCGAGGGGGCGCGGGGGGCCTCTGACCATCCACCCCCCGCGACTCCCACTGCCTCCTCCTCCTCCAGGTCTTTGTCATCAGCCTGGCCCGTCGGCCCGAGCGCCGCCAGCGCATGCTGAGCTCCCTGTGGGAGATGGAGATCGCGGCACGGGTGGTGGAGGCTGTGGATGGCCGGTGAGGTGCCCAGGGGCCGGGAATGGGGGGGGGGGGGTCCTCCAGTTCCCAGCTGACTGCAGCACTGATGGGGCCTGGCCACCAGGGGGCGCAGAGCGCAGGATTCCGTCCTGGGGCCTGAGCTCAGCAGTGACCTGTGGTCACCTCCCAGTGACCTACTCTCAGCCACAAAAAGCTTCGCTTCTTTTTTTTTTCCTTTTGGCTCACACCCAGTGATGCTCTGTGGTTACTCCTAGCCCTGCGCTCAGAAATTACTCCTGGGGGTGCTCAGGGGACCATATGGGATGCTGGGGATCGAACCCGGGTTGGCTGTGTGTAAGACAAATGCCCTCCCTGCTGTGCTATTGCTCCAGCCCCGAGAGCTATGCTTCCTTTGGGGTCTCCTCCTCCTCCTTCCCTCTCTCTTTGACTTTAACTTCTTCTGTTTTGGATTTGGGGCCACATCCAGCAGTGCTGGGGGGTGGGGGGGTGTCAGCTACTCCTGGCTCTGTGCTCCGGCACCTGCCGGGGTATTCAGGGGACCCGGGAGGGCAGCCTTAGCCCTTGTCCTCTCTCGTCTCTGTTGGCTTTGTGATTTTTTTTTTTTTGCTTTTTTTGGGTCATGCCCGGTGATGCTCAGGGGTTCCTCCTGGCTTGGCACTCAGGAATTACTCCTGGCGGTGCTCAGGGGACCCGATGGGATGCTGGGAATCGAACCCAGGTTGGCTGCATGCAAGGCAAATGCCCTCCCCGCTGTACTAAAGCTCCGGCCCTCTCTCTGTCGGTTTTGGTTTGGGGCCCAGCCCTGCTTGGTGACTGCTCCCAGCTCTTCTTAGGGGACCGTGTGGTGCTGGGCGTGGATCCCGGGGGTCCTGCATGCAGCGCTCAGCCTGCTGAACCCCTCCTGGCCCCTCTTGGTGTGTTTGTTTATTTGCATGTCTTTGTGTCTGTCTGTCTGTTTTCCCATATGGGGGTGCACAGACTCGGGGGCTCCTCTGCTGAGCCTCATCCCCACTCCCCGTGGCTCCGGCCCCTTTGGGGTGAGGGACAGGTCAGCTGGGCTCCAGCCCAGTGGGTTTTCCTAGGTCAGGTGAGCCTGCGGCTGGCCGTTTTCCCTGCCCTGCGCCCCCTCCGCTGCTGGGTGTCCGTCCAGGGCCTTCCTCCTGTCACCCCCACATCTGCCCTGGGCTGCCCCCTCAGGATGCTCCCACTCCCCCACCCCCGCCAGGTGGCTCGGCTCCCTGGGTCCAGTCGCTGTGGCCTCGGCCACCCCAAGCCAGAGGCACTGCTGGGCGGTGCCCTGACTGCCCTGTAACCCCGTCCCCCAGGACGCTCAACGGCAGCACCCTGAGACGTCTGGGCGTGGAGCTGCTCCCCGGCTACCAGGACCCCCACTCGGGCCGCCCGCTCACGAAGGGCGAGGTGGGCTGCTTCCTGAGCCACCACTCCGTGTGGGAAGAGGTGAGCGGACCCCAAAGAGGGAGACGCGGGGGGCCCTGCTGTTGGCGGGAGGTGAGCAGGCAGCGAGGGTGGCTCCCCAGGCCATTGAGGAGGCATGGAGGGGCTCCCCCAGCACCCCCGAGTGCGGCCCACCCCCCAGTGAAACTCAAGCAGGACTGGGGTGAGTCCCAAGGTTTAGGGGACCATCTGGGGTTCCGGGCACCCAACCCAGTGCCCTCCCTACTGCCTTATTTCTCCAGCCGCCTAAAGGGCTTTTGTGTCGGGGTGTTGGGGGCTAAAGGTCCCCCCATCTCACCCCACCCCCTTTAAAGCCTGGAGGGAGAGGGGAGGGGCTGGAGCGATAGCACAGTGGGTAGGGCGTTTGCCTTGCACATGGCCGACCCGGGTTTGATTCCCAGCATCCCATGTGGTCCCCTGAGCACCACCAGGAGTAATTCCTTAGTGCAAAGCCAGGAGTAACCCCTGAGCATCGCTGGGTGTGACCCAAACAAACAAACAAGCTTGGAGGGTAGGGCTGGGGGCGCAGTGGCAGGCACTGGCCTCGCAGGGGTGAGGTGCTGACCAAGACCCAGACCAAACAAGACCAAGTGAGAAAGTTCGGGAACTGGGCACGAGGGTCGGTCCTGGTCCTGCCATTTCTTGGCTGGTGTGGCCACACGGTGGGACGTGAGTCTCCTCTGCCTATGGCCCCCGGGGTCCGTCTTCCTGCGGGTCCACACGGGGCCACCCTGGGTTCGGTCCTGAGACCCCCACCCTCCCAGCGGGGGAACCAGTGTCTGGGTGTCAGCTCCCTGTGGGGGCTGATGTCAGGGAGCCCTGGCTGGGGCCGTGCCCAGAACATCCCCGATCTCAGTACCCCCCACCCCCGCCAACGCCGGGCTCCGCAGGTGGTGTCCAGGGGCCTGACCCAGGTCCTGGTGTTCGAGGATGATGTCCGCTTCGAGAGCAACTTCCGGGCACGGCTGGAGCAGCTGATGGCAGAGGTGCAGACGCAGCAGTTGGCATGGGACCTGATGTAGGTGCCCCCTCCACCCGCCGCCGCCCCCTGCGTGTGCCCTGAGAGCCCTCCGCACCCGGGCCTGTGTCTGTGGGATGGGTCCCCTGAGACCCCGGCACCCACAGTGACCCCCCAAAGCCCCCTGCTCTTTGTCTGCAGCTACCTGGGCCGGAAGCAGGTGAACCCCGAGGAGGAAGAGGCCGTGGAGGGTCTCCCGCACCTGGTGGTGGCCGGCTATTCCTACTGGACTCTGGCCTACGCGCTGAGCCTGGCGGGCGCCCGCAAGCTGCTGGCCTCGAAGCCCCTGCACCGCATGCTGCCTGTGGACGAATTTCTGCCCATCATGTTTGACCAGCACCCTAAGTGAGCCGGGGGGGTTGCAGAGACTCCCGGGATGCGCCCCAACCCTTCCGGGCAGTGGGGCAGACAGAAGTTGGAGGCTCCGGGCCCCCCCACTCAGGCACAGCCCAGCCCTTGAGTCAGACCGGCCACAGCAGGGGGTTGAATGGGGGGGGGGGGGGAGGAAACACACATTCCAGCTGGTTTTTGTCACATAACTTCCTTGTCTGCAGCCTCTATTTCCCCATCTGGAAAATGGGTGGGAGAGGACCCCTCCCCCCCCACACACTGTGTCACTGTATCACTGTCATCCTGTTGTTCATCGATTGCCTTGAGCAGGCCCCAGTAACGTCTCCTTCGTCCTAGCCCTGAGATTTTATGTATTTATTTATTTATTTTGCTTTTTCTGGGTCATACCCGGCAATGCACAGGAGTTATACCTGGCTCTGCACTCAGGAGTTACTCCTGGCAGTGCTCAGGGGACCATATGGGACGCTGGGAATTGAACCCGGGTTGAACGTGTGCAAGGCAAACACCCTACCCGCTGTGCTATCTCTCCAGCCCCAGCTCTGAGATTTTAGAAAGTGCCACATTCGAGGCTCTTTCAGGGTCAGGAGTGAGACCCATCATTGTTACTGGGTTTTGGCATCTTGAATACACCACGGGGAGTTTGCCAGAGCCCACCCCCTCCCACACACACACATCATGTATATGGGGACAGCTCAGAGGGCATGTGGTTTGGGGGTACGCAGGCCCCCCACCCCTGAGCCGTGCTCTCTCCACTCAGCGAGCAGTACAAGGCCCACTTCTGGCCACGGGACCTGCGGGCCTTCTCGGCCCGGCCACTGCTCACGGCGCCCACCCATTACGCCGGGGACGCGGACTGGCTCAGCGACACGGAGACCTCCTCGGCCTGGGACGACGACAGTGGCCGCCTGGTCAGCTGGAGCGGCTCCCACAAGACCCTGCGCGACCCCCGCCTGGACCTGGCCGGCGGGGGCCATGGTCTCCGGCCCCGGGACGAGCTCTAGCTGCTGCCTCTCCCTCTGTCCGTCTTCTGCTCGTTCTGTCCTGTTTTGGGTTCTGTTTGGGGGCCACACCGGCGATGCTCAGGGCTGACCCTAGCTCTGCTGACCCTGGCTCTGCCCTCGGGAATCCCTTGTGCTCGGGCATGGGACAGGGCCGGCTGCGCTGCCAGGCCCTCCCACAGCTCTTCGTTCTCTCCCTGTGCCTCTGTCTCTGTCACTGTGTCATACCGCACTGCTCCCTGCTCTCTCTTTGCACCTCTGCTGTCTCCACATCCAGGCGGTGATGCCGGGAAACATCTAGGAGCAGCACTGGAGACCGCTGGCCGCCACCTGGGGCCTGACCCCTCTGCTCCGTCCCCGTCCCGGGTGCGGACACAGCACTCAGGCAGTGCCCTGCTCACTTTGCACACGGGCTGGGCTCACCGACTCAGGGCCTGGGTGGAGGGAAGGGGGTTCTGCCCCAGACACCTGCCCGCCCAGCCCCATTCTCCCCCTCTCTACCTCCATGTCAGCTCCTCCCCAGCTCCACGCCTGGCCAGCGGGCAGGGCGGGAGCGGAGGACCCTCGTGTGCCGGGTGCCCGGTACATAGTAGGTGCTCAATAAAAGCCCGCTGGGATTTGCACTTTACACCCCACTCATGGTGGAGTCTCTTTGTGGGTGCCGAGGGGCAGAAGAGGAGGGAAGGTCAGACCTGACATCACCCCCTTAGGATGTTGTTGGATAACACTGGGTTGTCCTTGCTCCTCCCGCAGGGAGCTAAGGTTTACTGAGCTACTCCTACAGCAGTGCCCATGAGGCACACCCAACTCCATCAAGAACTAAGAATCCTATATTTTCTCTTTCCTTTATGTCCTTTGCCTGGTTTATTTAGCAATGCCCTTTTTGTATAGACACAGGAAGAGAGTTGATGCTGTGCTTTTGTAGCATGGGAGTTAATTGATTCCAAGTAATATTTACACCTGGCCATCCATCATATTTACTTGACTTAAGCCTCAGTTGCCTTTACTTCCTAACGCCCCCAAAAGGAGGGTCCCAAAGACGAGACTGGATGGACCCAGAGCAAGCCATAGCTACCCTGACATCGAACGGGGACAAAGCTAAGCACCGTAAGTATTATAAGTTAAGAGCATGGTCATGGAACAAACTCTGTCATGACCCAAAGAGAAGTAACTGAGTAAGGACCTTGCTGGGGTTAGGAAAGACTAACCTGGCTTGAGGACTGTAGTCTGGGATATATAGCGAGATGTCCCCAGGAAGAGTCAACCTTCAAGCTTAATGTATCTCTTACTAGTGTTCATACAAAATGACTAGAAATATTATTTATTTATTTTTGCTTTTTTGGGTCACACCTGGCAATGCTCAGGGGTTACTCCTCGCTCTGCACTCAGGAATTACTCCTGGCGGTGCTCAGGGGACCATATGGGATGCTGGGAATCGAACTCGGGTCAGTCACGTGCAAGGCAAATGCCCTACCCGCTGTGCTATCACTCCAGGCCCCAAAATGACTAGAAATATTATAAGAAGTAAATTTACTATGACTGTTTAAATGGATTACTAGCTGAGGAAAGGAGAAAGCAATACACCCTGATGGAATCCGGCCCTTGAGCGGATCTCCTAGTAATCTGGAGTGCTGAACCCTTGGATGAGATCTTGTCCTTGAGTTAATCTCCCAAAACTTCCCCTGAAGGAGTGACTCTACATCTGTTTGTGGTTATGACAATATTCAACCCCACCTAAGTGTACCCCAACCCCTTATGGTTTCTATTTAACTGTGCTGTAAGGGAATATAAAAGAGCTTATATAACGAAGGCTAGAAAGAGAGGACTAGGATGATGGAATTAGGATGACGGGGACCACGACCAAAACTATGACTCCGGTTGTGCTGTAAGAGAGAGATCGAACTACGCTGGGAAGAGAGAAATAAACTGACTGCCGACCAGCCTGGGGCCCTGTTTCTCTGTTTCCCCGTCCTTCGTGGACCGGCCAGGGGAATGGCACTCGGCCACTGAACGCTCAAGTCCCGCATGCCCATGCATTTTCCCTGGAAACTCCCAGGATGTGGCGGTGGGAAGAGGAGAGACGTGCACTCACAGGAGTGTGTGCTCTCAGGAGTGTGTGTTCACAGGAGTGTGTGCTCACAGGCTCATGTTGGGGGACGGGTAGGAGGTGTGGACCGCGGTCCTGGACACTGCTGGAGGCCCTGTGCCTGTGGTAGACACAAGACCCAGCATCACCCGGTTCTCCAGACACCACACAGGCAGCCCCCTGAGCACAGAGCAGGGGGCAGCCCCTGAGGACGGCTGGGTGTGGCACCCAAACCACAAAGAAAATGAAGGGGTCTGGAGCCCAGTCTCCTGGGGCTGTCCTGGCCATCACTGACCTCACTTTGGCCAGATGCACAGTTGTTGGAGCTTCTCCACCTTCAGTTCTTCACCGGTGCCGCTGGCGTCCCTCCCCTAGGTGGGCTCCAGGGTCCCCAAAGGCTCTGCCAGCCTGACCACTAGAGGTCAGAGGCTGTCTGCTGGCAACGCGCCCCCTGCTGGTTGCGGTAGGGAAAGGGCGCTGGGGGCGGTGTTTGTGTGTGTGTGTGTGTGTGTGTGTGTCTGTGTGTCTGTGTGTGTGTGTGTGCGCTGGCTGTGGCCAGGGAGCACTCCTGGTAGGCTCTGGGGATCACATGAGGTGGCAAGGATGGAACTTGGGTCAAGGAGGGCAAGTGTCCTACCTGCTGTACCGTCACTGCAGCCCCCCCAACTGGACTTTTTGGGTTTGGTTTTGGGTGATGCTCAGGGCTTACTGAGCAGGGGGACAGGTGTCTGCCACCAGATTTTCAGGAGCCAGGGGTCCCCGCTGAGCCACGTTATACTCTTAGCAGGAGAAGGAGCCGACCCAGGGTTGAGGGGCTTCTAGTCTGTACAGGAAAGAACTTCAGAAGGCAGATAAGTGAAAATGAATTTATTAGGGGTGGATACGAATTTTGTGCTTTTGTTTTTGGGCCACGCGGCCGACCTCAGCCACTGTACTTGTTCTTATTGTCTCTTCTGGCCCTTTTTTTTTTTTTTTTGGCTACACCCAGCAGTGGTCCTCAAGGCTTACTCTGATGTCCTATTGCTTCGGCCCCAACTGCTGGGCTTTCTTTTTTTTTTTCTTTTTGGGTCACACCTGGCGATGCACAGGGGTGACTCCTGGCTCTGTACTCAGGAGTTACTCCTGGCGGTGCTCAGGGCACCATATGGGATGCTGGGAATCGAACCCGGGTTGGCTTCGTGCAAGGCAAATGCCCTACCTGCTGTGCTATCTCTCCAGCCCCTTGGGCTTTCTTAATAGCACAACAGGGATAGAGAGCTAGATCCTGGCTGGGCATTTTACAAGTTTATTTACTTATTCGTTCGGGGGCCACACCTGGCCGTGGTTGGGGACTACACCAGGCTCCACTCTTGGGAGTAGCTGTGATGTTTTGTCAGGAATGTCACAGAACTTGGACCTGAGGCAACTGCAATGTTCAGACTATTCCTGACTCTGTGCTTGGGGGACCGTGTGGTGCCGGGAGTTGAATCCAGGCCACGCAAAGCCTCTTCTCAGCCTGGTGAAGTGCTCTCTGGCCCCAAAGCTGAACTTTTCGTTTTGTTTTGGGGGTACACCTGGCTGTGGTCAGGGAGCACTCCTGGTAGGCTCTGGGGATCACATGAGGTGGCAAGGATGGAACTTGGGTCAAGGAGGGCAAGTGTCCTACCTGCTGTACCGTCACTGCAGCCCCCCAAACTGGACTTTTTGGGTTTGGTTTTGGGTGATGCTCAGGGCTTACTCACGGCTCTGCACTAAGCAATCACTCCTGGTGATTCTCGGGGCGGGGGGGGGGAGGTGAGGGCACATGGGGCATTGGGAATGGAACCCGGGTAAAGGTAAACACCTTTCTTGCTGTACTCTCTGCCCCCACCCCAGCTGGAGTTTTAAAGTACCCCTTTCTGGGGCTGGAGCAATAGCACAGTGGATAGGGCGTCTGCCTTGCACGCGGCCGACCCGGGTTCGATTCCCGGCATCCCATATGGTCTCCTGAGCACTGCCAGGGATAATTCCTGAGTGCAGAGCCAGGAGTATCCCCTGTGCATTGCCAGGTGTGACCCAAAAAGAAAAAAAAGTACCCCTTTCTCCCCCTTCCCACTCCAGGGGTCGCTGAGCCCATGCCTCAGACCTTCCCCTCACCTCCTGAATGAATCTTCATTTGGGAGTAGGGGCCAGGGGCGGGAGTCTTCATCCAAGAGCGGGTGCAGGGATCTACCTGGCAAAATTCAGGGACTACTCCTCACCACCACTACTATTCTGTGCTCAGAGATTACCACTAGCTGGTGATCAGACTGGGTTTGGCTGCATGCAAAGTAAGCAAATGCTCTACCCGCTGTCCGTTTCTTCCACTCCTGGGTGTAGCTTCTCAACTTTTCCTTTTCTTTCTTGCCATTCAGTTTGCATGAGAGAGAGAGAGAGAGAGAGAGAGAGAGAGAGAGAGAGAGAGAGAGAGAGAAACAGAGAGAGAGAGTGCACACCCTTAGTCCTGCCCAATCTCAGATTTTCCAAGTGGACAGTCCCAAAGAACTTCCCTCCCCATCAGCCCATCACTCTGTGGATGGAGAGCACCAAGCCTTCAGTGGCGCGTGGGCAAGCTTCCTTCATTCCGCCTGGTTCCTGATTCTGGTACAGCAGGTGGGAGAAGCTGTCCTGGATCTGTGTCTTGGACTGGGCACATAGAAGGGACTTAGATAGTGGTTTGGGGACTGGGGATGAGGCTCAGTGCTTGAGCACATACCCAGCATGTGTGGAGGCCTGGGTTCCAAGGCCCAGTGCTGACATAGGTAACCCCCTAAAAATCAATCCTGCTATGGTGGGTGCGATATAAAACAGGGGCAGCAATTCCATTTGGGAGGCCACGAAAGGGGCTGTAGTGATGTCTCAGGATGGAGGAACATCACAGAACTGGGGCCCCAAAGCCAGAAGTGGATCCTGGGCTCCAAGGAGGTACCACTTCCTCTGAAGGGGGACGGGGTCCAGAAAGAGACTGGGGGAGGGCTGAGGCTCTTTTTCTCTATGAGCAAGAACTGGGGCGACGTGGAGAAAGGCGCAAAGGGCTGGGGGTCCTGGATCCCTTGCACCCCCCCCCCAGACATAGAGAACTGGGAGTGTCAGAAGGGGAAGAAGCAAAGGTTGGGAGACGTCATGGAGTAGGGGGAGGGACTGGGACAAGTGGGGACAATCGCAGAAGGGTGATGGGTCTCGTTGGGGGGCGGGCAGAGAAGCGGGGGAGGGGGACACGGAGCTAATTCAACTGGCCATCCGAAAAGTCAGAGTCCAGTGACAAGGTGGCTGGGTGGGGGGGTAGGAAATGGTGAAAGATAAAGGAGGGCCGCGGGGCAGGTCACTGGCGTTGAGGACGTCAAAGAAAGGCGGCAGCGGGCGAGGAGCACGGGGGGTTCCCAGAATCCAGGGCGGCCCCGCGAGCCCAGAGGACCCTGGATTGGCTGCCGGGAGGGCAGCGACCGATCGCGGCGAAGATGGCGGCCCGAGGGAAGGCTCACCGGGGTCGGTGTGTACGCGCAGGGCCGGCGGCAGCGGGCCGGGCCGCTGGGCCCGGGGCAGGGGCTGGGTCTCCCCCCCCCCCACCCCCCGCACGCGCCGCTCCCGCCCCTAGCTGGTTCCGTGAACCCTCCCGGGGCCCCGTTTGCTACGGAGACCCCCACCCCCACCCCGGAGCAGCGGGCTGAGCATTCCCGGACTTCTGGGAGCGATGGGGGTCGAGGGTGGGGGGGATCGCGGCAGTTCAAAAAAAACAAGGGGCGGGAGCGATCGGACAGCGTTGTTTGTAACTAGGGCGTTGGCCTCGCGCGCGGCCGACCCCGGTCCGCTCGCCGGCCATCCCGTTGGGTCCCCTGAGCACCCCCAGGTGGGACTCTCTGAGCGCAGAGCCAGGGGTCGACCCCCCTGAGCATCGCCGAGCGTGGCCCCTCCAAAGCCTCCACCAACAGGCCAAACTAACGCCGAAAAGCTAGGGGCCAGGGGTGGCGGTGGGGGGGGAGCGGGCGACAAAAAACGGCAGGAGAGGGACGCCGGCCCTCCCCCGAAACCGCCGGGCAAGCCCGGGCCGGGCCCCCGCCGGTGGCGTCGCGCGTCTCCGTGGCGACGGGCCACGTGGTCCCCGGGTGGGCGGGGCGTCTCTGTGACGCGCGGGGGGTGGGACTAAATGGCGAGGCCGACGGCTTCCGGGGGGAATTTGAACTGACCAATGGGCGAGCTGCCGACCGGGTGTCGGAAAAAGAGGCGGAAGCGGGGAGGAGCCGCCGCCGGAGCCGGACCGCATCCGCCGCGGCGTCTCCATGGCACGTCCCTGGCCTCCGACTTCAACGACTACATAAGGAGGCGCTTCTGGGCGCAGCCGTGCCGCTCCTGGTGAGGGGCGGCGGGGCGAGGGGCGGGGGCGGCGAGGGCGGCGGGCCCGGGGGACCCCCGCTCCCGTCGAACCTGGCGCCCGGGCCCCTCCCCTCGGCGCGGGGCTCTCCTCCTTCTCCGCCTCCTCCGCCTCCCGCTAACGGGCCGGCCGCCGCCTCCCTTCTCACCTGGGCCAGCGGCCGCGGCTCCCGCCTCCTCCTCGGCTGCCCTCCGGCGGGGCTGCGCCCTTCTCTCGATGGGCCGAACCTGGGGCCCTGCTGCCCACGGGTGGGTTGGCCGTTCCGGCGGACCCCCGCGCCCCGCCGGGCCCCCTCCCCCCCGGGGGAGGGTCCGCCCTCCCTCCCTCCCCGCGGACGGCGGTTAGTGTCCGGCTCCTCGAGGGCAGCGCCGCGCCCCCCCACCACCCCGGGCATCGCCCGCCCCGCCGGAGGGGCTCACCGGTCCTGGGGGCCCCACCCCACCCCGCCCGCCCGCCCGCCCGCTCGCTCGCTCGGACCCACGCCCTCGCCGCCGCCCGCTGCTGGCTGGCGGCCGGCCGGAGAGTGCCTGGCCGCCACTCGGGGGTACCCCGCTCGCCCCCGCGCCTGCCTCCCTCCAAAGCCATTGGTCCCCCCTCGGGCCGCCGGTTCCGCCGGGAACGCCCCTTCTCCTAGGAGACAGTTGCCCGGCCCCGCCCGGGATCGCTTCTTCCCCCCCCCCCCACCCTCTGCCCGCGCTGCCTCGGGGGCCCCAGGGCCCACTCGGGGCCGAGCGGTTCTCTGCCGCCCCCCACGCACCCCGCCGGGCTCCTCCAGGTTTTCCCCCGCCCCGTGGGGGCCACCGCCTTCCCGGTCGGGGCGTGGGTGGGGGGGTCCGATCCCTGGAGCTTCCGCGCCCCTGGCCCTCGCTGGGCCTGGGGGGAGTCTCCCAAGTGGGCTCCCCGGCCCACCAGCCCCCCCCACCCCTGCCCGCGGCCGCTCAGCCTCTCCCAGCCTCGCCCTCCCGTCTCCCTCCTCCCCTGCTCCGACAGGACAGTTGCTGTGCGACTCGGACGGTAGAGGAGCCGCCTCCCAACCTCCACCCCCAAAGCTTCCACCCTCCTCCCCTCAGGACCTTTGATGCCGGGCCCCTGAGATTCTCACTGGCCAACCCCTCTGGGTCCCCCCTGAGCAGTCTGCTGACCCCATTGCCCACCTTTGTGGCTTTGATGCCTAGCCATGTCTGCCTCATCCTCAGGCGGCTCCCCCAGGTACTGCCATGGGGGTGGGGTGCCCGCATCCGCCGGGCAGGGAGAAAGGGGTCAGGGCCCACTCCCCTGCTGCTGGGCTCGGCTCTGCCTCCTGGAATAGCCGGAAAATGGTGTTTTTGTTTTTTTGTTTTCCCTTGTTTTTTGGGTCGCACCCGATGATGCTCAGGGGTTACTCCTGGCTCTGCACTCAGGGATCACTCCTGGCAGTGCTCAGGGGGCCAGATGGGACACCGGGGGCCAATGCCCTCCCCACTGTGCTCTCGCTCTGGTCCAGATAATGTTTTTTCCTTTTATTTTTTTAATGGAGGAAGGAGGATAGCAGATCGGCAATCCCAACTTGCCCTCCCTGAGAACCCCTCCCTCGGCGCCCCAGCTCCTGGTAGCCAGCCCCTTAGGGCCACCTTTGTTGTCTAGTGAGACGTGTTCCTTCCGGTAATGTGCGTGACCAGGCCCCGTGCACGTAAATCGCAACCTCCAGCTGCAGGGTGGAGCTGGGTCCCAGGTGGCTTATAGGAGCTTCCCCCAGCCTGCTGGCTTGACGCGAACTGAGCTTGTGCTCCTGTGTACTGAGACTTGATGTGCCTTGCTTGATCAGTAATGGACCATACGTTTTTATTCTTTTTCTTAAAAAAAGAAAATGAAGGTCTGGTACTTACGCAGCAAAATGCATGGCCCAGTGCTCAAGGCTCTGTAGCTTGCATTAGATTCTCACAGGTGGCGTGGGGAGAGAGATCTGGGAGCAGGGATGGGTGCCTAGGAGTTTTGCAAAAGTCTGGACGCGGCCGCTGTCTGGTCAGGGAAGGGAAACTTGCTGTATCTGCACATCTGGAGGTGGGGCAGAGCTGGGAGGGGAGGGGAGCCAGGCGGTGCACCCCACTGCCTACCCAGGGGGCTGGGAACACTTCATCCTCTTGGTTATGAGTTTGAGGCTTGGGGATTTCACCCAGGATCCTGGTGCTCGGCCATTGGATGTCCTCACAGGTTTCTCTCTCTGGCTGCCTCTGTTCCCGGAGGGTCCAGGGCCCTTCGTCCCCTTGACCTGAGCTCCCACTTGGGATGGGGGCGGGAGCCCCTCTAGAGGGGCGTCAGGGGTAGCTGGTCCTCAGCACAAGGTCACAATATATGTGATGCGATGGCCGCATGAAAGGCCAGCGCTGGGGAGGCCCAGCCCCTTCCTCCTGCCCCCTCAGTGGACACATCATGTGCGTGTGGGGCTTGAGCTAAGAGGAGAAGCGCCACCCAGCCTGCCTCCTAACCGTGGGCTGGCTTGGTAGGCCCTGCAGGGAGCGTGGTTGCCAGCGCCGGAGGGCAGCGGGGCCCCGACCTTCTCACCCGTAACCTGGTTCTTGTGCCCGGATACAGGTTTCCAGCTTGCGGGAAGAACGGAGTAACAAGTCTCACGCAGAAAAAGGTCTTAAGGACACCTTGTGGCCCGCCCAGTGTGACCGTAACGGTAGGTGACTCGCATCCCCACAGCCCTCTTCTTTTGTGTCTGCGTCCCCACCACAAAAAAAAAAAAAAGTAGCTGCTGCTTCCACACCCCTCTTCAGGTGCTGTTGGCACCCTGGTTCCCCGCTCTGCTTGGCGCCTTCATGCTTGCCTCTGCAGCCTCCCGGGGGTTTGGGGGTGCCTGCGGTCAGGGCGCCAGGTGTGAGGAGGTTTGTCTTGATCTAATCCTTCCAGGCATATTCTCCAAATCTTGACAGCAGACTTTCCCAAAAACAGAAAAGGAAGAAAAGGAAGCAGAGGGGAGGGGTACGTAGTTGGGGGTCTGCGGTTGCTCACGCTTGAGGGTCTGTGCCACCGTCTCATCGTCATACCCTCTCCGGCTGCCTTCTTGTCGCCTGCCGTCTGCTTTATTTTGTAACCCTCCCACCCCTCCGCCCCCCAAACCAACGCATCGTTTCATTTTGTGTGTCTGCCCGCGCTATCCGCACGGCCCCCGTTGGGATTACGGCGGGTGAGGACGGCCTGCGTTCCAGCAGGCTCCGAGGACCCCCGGGGCTCCTGGGCTTGGGTCTTGTTGGAGACCCCCCCAGGTCCAGCGGAGACCTTCCCTTGCGCGCCCCTTGGCTCGCGGGGCCGCCTCCAGCCGGAAATCTCCGCGGGAGCCTGCTGTCGGGTCCGCTCGCTTTGCTCATGCCTGCATGCCCAGTAGTCGGTAGCCGTTCCTGGTGGCTTGGTGGCCAGGCTCTCGGTGGTCCCCCCCGAGGCCATGAGCGCTGTTTTTCATGCCCAGTTTGCTCATCCACAGATCAGTCCTTTTTGTGTTGCCCTTCCCCGCCTGCAAGAAGCGAACCATGAAGGACCGCTCCTCAACTCCCCCCTTACATGTTCACGTGGATGAGAACACCCCTGTCCACGTCCACATAAAAAAACTCCCGAAACCAGCAGCGGCCGGCAGCCAGGTAGGAGCATTGGCAGTGGGGGCGCCTCCCCGCCCGGCTCCCCCCGCGTTTCTCGAGACGCAGGCTTTCGGAGGCGCTGCCCGCGGAAGGTAGGCAGGCGTGTCGGCCCCACCGGCAGCCGCGATCCGAAGCGCAAGAGGCAAGAGTTGGATGGAGGTGGCTGTCGCCGAGTGAGAACGCCACGGTCGCGGCGGGCCGGGCCGTGACCGTGGGTTTGTCCCTCTCCACAGAAATCTCATAAGCGTGGAATGAAAGGGGACACCGTGAATGTGCGGCGGAGTGTCCGGGTGAAAACCAAGGTACCTTGGATGCCCCCTGGAAAGTCATCCGCTCGGCATGTGGGATGCAAGTGGGAGGTAGGCGCTGCCTTGTCAGGGCTTTCTTCTCGCTGCAGTGCGCAGGGGCTGAGGCCACTGCCTGCACACGGTGTGTGCCGGGGTCGGCCGGTCGCGAGGAGGTGCCCCGGAGGGCCTGGTGCGACCGGGTGAGCGTGTGGAGCTTCCGGGGCCGAGGTGCTGTGCTTGGAGGCTCAGGCAGGAGCAGGTGGGGCGCAGGGCTCCAGGGGGACCCTGCTCGACGCCCCACGCTGGGTGTCTGGGGCATGTGAGGAGCCGAGGTCTTTTCCCAGGACTGCGAGAACATCTGTTAAGCGGATTCACAGACCCAGAGAGGCGGGGGCCGCAGGGATGGGGCGCCCCCAGCCCCGGGGAGGAGCTGCTGGGGTCACAGTACCTCACTCCAGCTCGGCCCCTTGGCAGTTTTGGTGGTCTGTGCAGTACAGCAGCCTTGACGGAGACTTGGGGCTGATTTGGGGGGCCCGGGCAGGCCCCCCTGACCTGCTGAGACCAACCCTGGGAGCCAGGTGCCTCGAGGAATCTTAGGGCTGGGTCCTTCCTGGCTGCGTGTTCGACCACGTTCTCATTCTTGGGGCCAGCGAAGGCCCAGATAGGCTGTTTTTGCCCAATTTGGAAAGGTCTGGTCTTTGGGGGATGATGGCTGATGACTTTTAAAAGTAAAAATAAAAAAAAAAAGTTATGGGTCTGGAATTTCTGGTCTGACTGCCTCTCTCGATACCCTGGTACTTCCACTCATCTTTGGGCAATAAAGGGAATAAATTAGAAATCTCTGTTCCAGCCTGTGTATATGTTGGGCGCTGGGCGTGCGCGTCATGTCTGTCCCAGAGATTGGGATCAGTGTCAGCCTCCCATTCTCGACCATGTTTCAGTCACTAATCTGGGAAATGTAGATGCAATTTTGTTCTCTATATTAAATATGCAATAAATGTCTTTGTGGTGTCAGGGCCAGAACCCCGGGCTTTCTTTGTGTGGGGCTTGTGCTTGGATGCCAATTTTTTTTTTCCTCCAAACCGTCATTTTTGTTGATTGAGGAAAAAGTGGAGTCATTACCACGCTGGCTGTGGGCAGCCCATGGAGAGGATTGGGAACCGAATCCTGGTGCTGGAGGCGATTTTTAATTTTTTTGTACCCATCAACGGCCATCTAGTTTTCCTCTTGGGACTTGACCCTTCTCAAGTCTGGGAAGAGGGGTGGTGATGTTTGTGGTGGAGAAAAAGGGGGGCTGCTCCCTAAGAGTGTCCCCTGAGGGCATTGGTGAACTTGGACAAAGGTGTGCAGTGGAATACACAGCTGGAGACAGCTGCGAAGCCACGAGGGGCCGCATGGAGCCTAGAGTTTGGTTCGTGCTGGGTAGAAAGGGTGCATTTGCCTGCGTGGTACACACATGTGCCAACGTTTGACATCCTCTGGGAGGACACGCAGAAGTGGTGGTGGGCAGGGCGACATCTCGGGTGTGGGGGCCTTGCCTGGTCCCTTTTGTGGGTGGCCTAGGGGAATGTTCCACGAACGAAGCTGGCTGGGGATGTTTTCCTGTTCCCGACGCCTTTAGTGGGGTGTGTGTTTTGTTGGTTGATTTGGGGCCACACCCAGCAGTGCTCAGGGCATACTCCTGGCTTTGCACTCAGGGATCACTCCTGGTGAGCTTGGAACACCCTTTGTGGTGCTGGAGTCAAACCTGGGTTGATGGCACACAAGGCAAGAGCTGTATCCTCTGGACCATGGCTCAGTGATGACCTTTTAATTAAAAAAAAAATTCTTGGGGCTGGAGCAATAGCACAGAGGGCAGGGTGTTTGCCTTGCACATAGCTGACCCAGGTTCGATTCCCAGCATCCGATATGGTCCCCCGAGCACCGCCAGGAGTAATTCCTGAGTGCATGAGCCAAGAATAACCCCTGTGCATCACTGGGTGTGACCCAAAAAGCAAAAAAAAGAAAAAAAGAAATTCTTTTGTTTTTTGGATCCACACCCAGAGGTGCTCAGGGCCCCTTCTCAGTTCTGAACTCGGGGGTAACTCCTAGTGGTGCTTGGGGAACCATCTGCAGTTCTGGGGAATGGACTGTGCTTGGCTGCATGCAAGGCAAATGACTTATGCCTGTTCTGTTTCTCCAGCCCCCAGTTTTTTTTAAAACAGAAAAGTCTTCATAGAGGCCGTGTCTGGATGGTCAGGTGGAAGCTGACCTTCAGTTGTGTGGCACTCAGGAGTCTGGGTGCCTGCAGAAGGTTGGGACCCTCTTGCAGTCCTACGCGAGGTCACTTGCCACTCCCACACTGGCCGTCCTGCAGTGGCAGTGGGCAGTCCTGTTCTGCTGCTGAGCCCCCTCTGTGTTCCTCAGCGCCCTGGCCTGACCCTCTCTCTTATGGACTTGGGGACAAGGACCTTGGCAGAGTTGGACCCCAGAAACTTCCGTGTGTGTGTGTGTGTGTGTGTGTGTGTGTGTGTGTGTGAATTCTCGCGGTTGTTCCGGTTTCATTTTGGGGAAGGGGCCAAGTCAGCGGTGCGGGGGATGGAGCCGGGGCCTCCCCACGCAGTGCGCATGCCCGGCCCTTGGAGCTCTGTCTTGGTCTTTTGGCTTCTTCAGGTACATGACATTGTCTTTGGGAGAAAGAAGGTAGCTGCTATTGGAAGTTGGCTTTTTTTCTTTTTAACAGAAAGTGGAAAGACTAGAGATGCCGACTCATGACAAATCCTACAACTTGAATTTGGTCACTCCCAGTTTTTAAAAACCCCCTTCCGTGGCAGTGCAAGAAAGTTCCCACGTCAGAACAGTATTGCGCGGTGAATCTTGGTTTTGGTTTTTGCTTCTTGAGTCTGCTGGCACTGCTCAGGGCTTCCTCCTGGCTCTGCACTCAGGCATCAGTTTTGACAGGATTCCTGGAACCAGATGGGGAGCCGGGGGCAGAACCCGGGTCGGCTTCGTGCAAGGCAAGCGCCCTACCCTCTGTGCTCTCGCTTGGCTCTGCTGTGATCCTTTTTTTTTAAATGTAGGAGTATTGCTAATTATTCAGCCATTGATTAGGCTGATTGAGTTGGGCATGAACTCCACTGCTGTGATCCATTTTCGAAACCACAGTTACCTGTGTCCTGACACTTGAGTTCTCAGAGAAAACTGCACAGCCGTCTCCAAAGTGCCTGCCCCAGGTGTCTCCTGCAACTGCTGATGTGCTGATGGTCCACTTCTCCATCTTCTTTTCCTTTTTTTTTTTTTTTTGGTGGGGGTGGGGGCCATACCCTGAGGTGCATCCGCTGCAGCCCCAGGGATCGATCTGGGGTCAGTGGCATACAAGGCAAGTATGCTACTCTTGAACTATCTCTGCGGCTTAACTTTTTTTTTTTCCTTTTTGGGTCACACTTGGCGATGCACAGGGGTTACTCTGGCTCTGCACTCAGGAATTACCCCTGGCGGTGCTCAGGGGACCATATGGGATGCTGGGAACCGAACCCGGGTTGACTGCGTGCAAGGCAAACGCCCTACCCGCTGTGCTCTCACTCCAGCCCCTTAACTACTTCTTAAATTGGTGTTTTTTCTTTTTTGCACAGCAGTGTCGTCATCGGGGCCTACTGCGGCCATACTTGGCTGCGTTCCGAGGGTGCTGGGAATTGAGCGTGGCACCCGGTCTGTGCATGAGGCTCCAGCCCTTGGAGTTCTTCTCTCCTGCCCTGTGTTTTTACTCTCTGCCACCCCCGGAGGTGCTCCCGAGCCCTGGCACTGCTCGGGCTGCTAGGTCGTGCTGGGGCTTGAGCCAGCATCCTGGCTGCTGCAGTCACCCACGAGGCATCTTACCGCCCCGGGATCGCTCTCCAGTCCCTGGCCCTGGATTTTTATTTTAACTTTTTCTTTCTTTTTTTTTTTGCAGTGCCAGAGATCAGATCGAGCTGAGGTCTTCCACAAGCCTTCTGCCCACGCCCCCTCCCTAACCCTATTCATGCTTGATTTTATCTTTTTATGCAGAGGTTTTGGAGACAGCATTATATTTATACTTTCGATAATCTTTTAGATTTTGCTAATTTGTGGATTCTGCTTGTTTATCCCAGGATCAGGCCAAGGACTCATGCAAGTGAGCCGAGTACTGTCCCACTGATAACTTCCCCACCCTTATTTAACAGATGTCTTTTGCTTTGTTTTGTTCTTTTGGACTGCACCTACGGTGCGCAGGACTTACTCCTGACTAGGCTCAGAGCACCCCGGGGTTGCTGAGGGTCACACCTGGGCCAAGTCCCTGTAAGGCGAGCCTTTATTATTTATTTATTTATTTATTGCTTTTTTTTGGGTCACACCTGGCAACGCACAAGGGGTCACTCTTGGCTCTTCACTCAGGAATTACTCCTGGCGGTGCTCAGGGGACCATATGGGATGCTGGGAATCGAACTTGGGTCGACCGCATGCAAGGCAAACACCCTACTCGCTGTGCTATGGCTCCAGACTCCTGTAAGGCAAACCTTTTACTGCTGCACTATCCAGCCCCCAAATGACTCTTACTCTAACAGCAATGCATTGTTATTGTTTATTGAGGCTTTAGAAACAAAGTCTATTATTATCGAACATGATGTCATGTTTATTGAAACATTGGAAAATGCAACCCTCAAATGAGTGATTAAAAATATATATATTCCTAGTGTCCTGAGAATCCTCAGAAAGAGTATAATTATTTAGGTGTACACCTTATTGAGTTTTTTTTTCTTTCTTTTATTTTTAATTTTTTTGTTTTTGACCACACCTGACAATGCTCAGGACTTACTCCTAGCTCTGTTTTCAGGGATCACTCCTGGCAGGGCTCAGGGGCCCATATGGGGATTGAACCTGGGTCGGCTACATGCAAGGCGCTGCACCTGGTCTGCTCTAGCGCCTTTTGGGCCATACCCTACTTAGCTTTTCCCGTCAGATAGTCTTATCCTTTTTATTTTGTTTTGGGGCCACATCTGGCAGTGCTCAGGGCTTACTCCTGGCTCTGCGCTCAGGGGTCACTCCTGGTGGCACTTAGGGCATCCTATGGGGTGCCCAGGATTGAGCCTGGGTTGGCTGCGTGCAAGGCAACAGTCCTAACTGCTTTTCTAGTGCTCCAGCCCTCATCCTTTGTACTTTTGTGCCAGTGGGATCAACGTTACTTTCCTTTGTGTAATTTCTGTTTTTTTCTCATTTTCAGTTTTGGGCCACAGCCAGTGATCCGGGTCAAGGACTATGCTCGCAGAGCTTGGGGGAAACCCAGTTAAGGATTGAACCTGAGCCTGCTGGAATGAAAGCATGAGCACAGGCCCTGTGGGGCGCCCTGGCCTGTACAATAGGTCAATGGGTGGGATCATCTCCCTAGGAAGTGCTCAGGAGTGCCCAGAGCCCTTCCTGGCAGTTCTTGGCCAACTGGACCTCTGGTTCCGTGCTCAGTTGGAGGAGGAGGCGCTGGTGCTAGAATTCCTGGGCTGCCCCCCCCCACAATTGCTCAGGCCTTCAGGGCTACACCTGCGGATACTCAGGGGGCGCCTGAGTGCAAGGCGTGCTCCTTAACCCTGTGTGTCTGGTCCCATGTATAATATTTATAATATCCTTAGATTTTCAGTGTAGAGCATACTAAATTTTCGTTTTGTTTTTTTTTTAACAGTTGTAGTTTTGTGGTGCTAGAGGTGATGCACAGGAATTACTCCTGGCTCTGCAATCAGGAATTACTCCTGGCTGTGCTCAGGGGACCATGTAGGATGCTGGGAATCGAACCTGGGTTGGCTGCGTGCAAGGCAAATGCCCTACCTGCTGTTCTATCGCTCTAGCTGCCCCTGCATTAGGACTTTTCGGGTGATTTTGTTTGTGCTTATTTTTGTTTTGGAGTCACACCCCAGTGTTGCTCAAGGGGCTCGGGAATGGCCTCTGATGTATTTGGGGGTGTAAGCTGTGCAGGGTCGGCCGTGTGCAAGTGCCTTCCCCACAGTACTATCTCTCTGGCCTAGTCCTTTTGTTTGTTTGTTTGTTTGTTTTTTTGGATCATACCCAGCGATGCTCAAGGGGTTACTCCTGGCTCTGCATTCAGGAATTACTCTGAATGCAGTCCCTCCACCGCGGGGGCCATGTGGGATGCCAGGGATCGAACCTGGGTCAGCCGCATGCAAGGCAAATGCCTTATCTGCTGTACTATAGCTCCGGCCCACTTTAAAATATTTTTTAACTTTTTTTTTTTCCCCCAGTCTGTCTTCCCAATTTCCCAAAAGAACCAAAGTCAGTATAACAATCCTAAAAAAGGCGATCAATGAAGAGTCAGGTGTCTCCTGCTGGAACACTTAGGGAAAAACCTGGAATTGTAGCTGGGGTTTTTATTTTTTAATTTTTTGCTTTTTGGGTCACACCCGGCGATGCTCAGGGGTTACTCCTGGCTCATGCACTCAGAAATTACTCCTGGCGGTGCTCGGGGGACCATATGGGATGCTGGGAATCGAACCTGGGTCGGCCATGTTGGCTGCGTGCAAGGCAAACGCCCTACCTGCTGTGCTATCGCTCCAGCCCTTAGCTGGGGTTTTTAAACCAGACCTGCAGCAGCTGCTCCTATCACATTGTAAGCGTCAGAGCCCGCTGCTGATGCAAGAGTACCAATATTGCTTTCTGGAGCCTGGCCCCAGGCTGCCTTGATGTCTTGATAAACACACCCATGAGTTTTATTTGCAGCAAATATCTTTCCCTTTGCACACCCCTCCCAGACCCTCCCACACTGATGAAGATTGCAAGGCTGTTTTCAACACTAGGCACTTTTTATTGGTTCATGAAATTTTTGGCAGCATCCTTTCAACAAATGAAGTGTTCAGAAAGTGAGTAAAAGGGCTGGAGCGATAGCACAGCGGGGAGGGCGTTTGCCTTGCACTCGGCCAACCGGGGTACAATTCCTGGCATCCCATATGGTCCCCTGAGCATTGCCAGGACTTAATTCCTCAGTGCAGAGCTAGGAGTAACCCCTGAGTATTGCCAGATATTGCCAGCTATGCCCTCACCCCTCCCCCCCCCCACACACACACAAAGGTAGTTGTTGTGCGCAGAGAGGTTTTGCCAGGGACAACATGGGCCCCCCATGTACCCACATTCTCCGTCCTCCTGGGAGAAGGTTCTGGGTTAGTCAGGGGGTGGGGCGGAGGTGGATCTGAGTGGGGCTACACCCAGCAGTGCTCAAGGCTTGCTTCTGGCTCAGGCATCACTTTTTTTTTTTTTTGCTTTTGGGGTCATACCCAGTGATACACAGGGGTTACTCCTGGTTCATGCACATTCAGGAATTATTCCTGGCCATGCTCGGGGGACCATATGGGATGCTGAGAATTGGAACCTGGGTCAGGCCGCATGCAAGGCAAATGCCCTAACCGCTGTGCTATCACTCCAGCCCCTCAGGCATCACTTCTGGCCCAGCTCAGGGAGACCTTCTGGGGTGCAGGGGATCGGAGTGGGGTGTGGCCACTGTACTGTCTCTCCTGCTTCCCCTCGCCCGGCTTCGTACTTCGAAGGCAGTATTCTGTTGTGTGTGTGTTTTCAATATGACCTCTCTGTAAAGGTCATTGTGGGTTTGCTAATATTATTTTGTCCAACAGTTAGCTTTCTCCTTGTCTTAGGCTTACATAGTGAGTCTTCTTGGGGTGCCCTTTATAAATTCCTAGAATTTAAATTCTGAAAGAAAGGACACTTGGGGATTTTTTGTTTTGTTTTATTTCTGTGGCGCTGGGGTCGAACCCAGGTCTGCCCTCCACATGCTTGCAAGGCCCAGCAGAGCTCTGCCGCCAAGCTCTGCCCACATCACCGTCTTGTACTTTCATTTACTTATTTTCTTGTGTGGTGCTGGGGATTGAACCGAGGTCTTCTCTAAGGCACGTGCAACACTTAGCTGCGTCCCCTGCCTGGCTGGAGGTTTTGTCCCAGTGGTTCTTCAGGGCTACTCCTGACCTCTGCTCAGGCGGCCATGTGCGGAGCCGGGTCCAGCAAGCACCTCGACAGCTATTCTTCCTCACTGGCCCCCAGGGTTTTTAAATTTCACCCTTGTTCTACCGGTTAGCTGTGTTGTTCAACCTTCACAAACACTCCCTTTTCTTCCCGAGAGCATCACTCTTCCCAGAAATTGGCCCAGAGATTGGTAACCTCATTATCAGAGGAACAGAGTAAACGTAGAAACAGACTCCGGTTCCAATTCAGTCTTTCAAAACCTGGAGTCCAAAAAACTATATAGATAACCTTTTAAAAAGTTTATAAGTATATCATCTTTCTTTTCTCAGTAGCACATGTTTGTTTGTTTGTTTTTTTGCTTTTTGGGTCACCCCTAGTGATACCCAGGGGGTTACTTCCTCTCTGCACTCAGGAATTACTCCTGGCGGTGCAAAGGGGACCATATAGGATGGGTGGGATCGAACCTGCATGGGCTGTGTACAAGGCAAACTGCCCTCCCCAGTGCACTATCACTCCAGCCTGGGGCACCTGAATTTAATTTTAGTGTTTATATTTTAATTGAGGGAGACACACCCAGTGGTGCTTGGGCGGCCGAGTGCTCAGGGCACCTTGGGGTGCTGGGGATTGAACCTGTAGTGCTTTGAGGGGTCTCTTTGGCGTGTCTTCTTTTTTTTTTTTTTTTTTTGCTTTTTGGGTCATACCTGACGATGCACAGGGGTTACTCCTGGCTCTGCACTCAGGAGTTACTCCTGGCGGTGCTCAGGGGACCCTATGGGATGTTGGGAATCGAACCCGGGTTGGCTGCGTGCAAGGCAAACGCCCTACCTGCTGTACTATCTCTCCAGCCCCTCTTTGGCGTGTCTTCTAAATACACATTTTTAAGTTGATGAATTAAAAAACTCAGCCATCCCATTCAGTGACTAAATTATATGTGCATTTCAGATATTTTTTTCCAAATGGCAAAATTTTAATTTTCTACTAAATCTAAGTAATTTTCTATTATAACTAACCCAACAGTGTATATTTCTCAAAAAATAGCTCTCCCAGTTTGGGGTAGGAGTACTCAGGGCTAACTCCTGGCTACACTCAGGGATCACTTCTGGGGGACCATTTGGGGTGTCAGGAAGCTAGTTAGCGGAGCGCAAGGCAAGTGCCCTACCCATTATACTCTCACTCTGGGCCAAAGGTCTTTTTTCGTTTTTATGTTTCTGGGCCACACATGGCAGTGATCAGGGCTTATTCCTAGCCTCTCAGGGAGCACTTCCGGTGGGCTTGGGACTGGGTGGGATGCTGGGTATTGAACCTGGGTCAGCCTTGTGCAAGACAAGTGCCTTACCCACTGTACTACTACTACTATTATTATTTTTATTTATTTATTTGTTTTTTTAAGGACTGCTTAGGCTTCCTGCAAGTGCTCTACTGCTGAACTACATTCTGTTAAAATTCCTCTTTTTGAGGGCCACACGTGTTGTGCCTGGGGCCTTAGATACCAGGCTATAGACCCCTTCTGGTTCTTTTTTATTTTATTTTTTTTGTAGCTGAAGTAACTATTATAACATCATGGGAGTTTCAGGTGGGCCCCATTAATAGTTGTGTGTATAAAACTTTTATTTCTTCTCTGATATCTGGTCAAGATTCAAATTTCCCAACTTGGGCCTCACATCTGTGTGATGGCGAGGGCTGAATGCCTTCTTGGTCATTGGCAGCACGGTCCAGAAGCAATCCGTCACCCCGGACCCCAGACTTCAGCCAAATTCGGGGATCATTCCTACGGTGGCCAGCTTGCTGTTGCCATTACTTCCCTTCCAGCAGGGTGGACAGTGCCCCTTCCAGATGCTGTGGCATGTTCTTCCTGTGTGTGTGTGGGGGGTCATCTGGGGGGGCAGGGGGCCCCCGTCATGGCCCCCTCAGCGGTGTTAGAACTTTGCACCCTGGGGCTCAGCCAGGTGTGGTGGTGGAGGCGGCCGCGCTTTGCCTGATGAGCTGATGTGTGTCTCTTTCCTGTGCGTCAGAATCCACCTCACTGCCTGGAGATCACGCCACCGTCTTCAGAAAAACTGGTCTCCGTGATGCGACTCAGTGACCTTTCCACCGAAGATGACGACTCTGGTCACTGTAAAATGAACCACTATGATAAGAAGATTGACAGTCTTATGAACGCGGTTGGTTGTCTCAAGTCTGAGGTGAGGGAGGTGAGGGGGGGACCATGCCAGCTGGTACCCGCGGGGTCTGGCCTCGACCAGGCAGGGGCCTGCTGGATGCTTCTGGAAGGCCTCGGCAGGCCTCCTGCCCTTCTCAGCAGGTTGCCTGGGATTCCGGCTGCACACTTTAGCCCGGTTCGGGGCCCTCAGCTGGTGCTCTGCAAGGGCTGGGCCTGACTTTTTCTGACCAGTCCCTGACACCGGAGGTGGCACTTGGCCCCCTTTGGGGCGAGGGGGCCCGGGGTTCCTTTCCATCTCATCTGCGTTTGTTTGGAAACCGGAGCAATGCCTCAGAGTGGGGGAAGGCGCTGTCACGCCCCGCCTGAGCCCATCCCAGCCCAGCCCGGTGTTGGCCGGTGTCTTTGGGTGGGCTGCGGCCACGGAGTCGGTCGGAAATGACCCCGACGTCCAAGGCCACGGTCAGGCCGTCGGTAGGGCTGGCTTGCAGGCCGGGTCTGGCGCTCTGAGGGGCTGCGTCCTTACTCCTCCTCCCTGTACTGGGCCCACAGGCCCCTCCGGAGCGGCCGGGGCGGGCTGCCTGGAACAGGCCCCCCTCTCTCTGCGGCGCAGGGGCCCTGTGACGCCTGTCCTGTGGTGTGCCAGCTGAACCACGGTTTGTATCCTGGCTCGGTCCCCAGCCAGCAAGCGACTCAGGCTCTGTCCTCGGTGTCCTCAGGCCTGAGGAGAGATGAGACAGGCTGCTGTTTCCCCCGACTCTTGGTAAAGTCCAAAAGGACCTGAGCGCCCGTGCAAGTGCTCCCCGGGTGGGGGTCGGCGGGCTGGGGGCTCGCTGTGGCCTGGCCCAGAGGCCCGGCCGCTTGGCCACCCTCCAGCGCCCCTGCGTGCCCCCCCACAGGTCAAGATGCAGAAGGGTGAGCGCCAGATGGCCAAGCGGTTCCTGGAAGAGCGGAAGGAGGAGCTGGAGGAGGTCGCCCATGAGCTGGCCGAGACGGAGCACGAGAACACCGTGCTCAGGCACAACATCGAGCGCATCAAGGAGGAGAAGGACTTTACCATGTGAGCGGCCGTTTCTTGCTGTGTCCCCTTGGCGGTGGGGGCGGGGTGTCTCATGCAGAGCCTGAGGTCAGAGGAAGGGCTGAGATGGGTGTCGGGGAAGGGATGGTTTTTCCCGAGTTTGGCATGGGGCGGTGGCGGGGGGGCGCTCAGGCGCCAGGGCAGGCTGTTTGCAGCCAGGGACCACACGTGTATGTTTACGTTTCGGGGAGGAGGATGGGAGCCCCCCCCCCCCAGGTAGCCCTGAGGATGGGGTGTGGAGGGGCAGAGGTTGGACAGGGCTCGAGGGAGCAGGCTGGCGGGTGACCCTGCAGGGACGGCCCCTCCCCCTTGCCCCTTGACCGGACCAGGTGATGAGTCGGGCAGGGCATTGTGAGGCGCGACCAGAGCTCTGGGCCGTGCTCCAGCTCGGGGCCCTGCTCCCAGAGCCCAGGGCTCACCATGTCCCATCATTATGGCCACAGGCTTCAGAAGAAACACCTCCAGCAGGAGAAAGAATGCCTCATGTCCAAGCTGGTGGAGGCAGAGATGGACGGTGCGGCCGCAGCCAAGCAAGTCCTGGCTCTGAAGGACACCATCGGGAAGCTGAAGACGGTGAGTGGGGCCGGGCCTGGCGGCCAGGGGAGGGGGGGCTGGGGGAGGGGTGGGGTCCCTACGCAGTCACCAGGCTGACTTTATGACATCTCCAGACCTGGGGGGGGAGGGGTGTGCTCAGGTCCTGGCCCCCGTCCCCACCTCTCACTTCCGTGGCCTGACCCTCGAGGGTGACTGCTGGCCCCAACATGGGTGTCCTGGGATCTCAGTGACCTGGGCCATGCGTCTGATCCCTGCAACCATGAACCACCGCTGTTGCCAGGTGGGACCCACATTTCTCAGAAAGCTTGCGGCACCCTCACCTGTGGCCGCTCTACCTCCTTCCTCACACTTGCTGCTCCCACAGGCCCGGCGCCCGCCCCCTCCTCCCAGGTCCTCCTCCTCCAGGAAGCCTGCCATGGCTCACTGGGGCCCTGTACACGGCCTGCCCCTTCTTCCCAGGGCTTTGTGCCCCCCCTATCCCCCCACCCCCGCCTCCCTGTAGGCTCTGTGTGAGGATTCCGGCTGTGTCCCCCCAGGAGAAACAAATGACCTGCACGGACATCAACACGCTGACGAGGCAGAAGGAGCTTCTCCTTCAGAAGCTGAGCACATTCGAGGAGACCAACCGCACCCTGCGGGACCTGCTGAGGGAACAGCACTGCAAAGACGTGAGTCCCCTGGGAGGGCCAGGGCACTGGGTCCCCAGAGGCTGGGCTTGCTGAACAGGATAGAGGAAGGGAGGATGAGATCCAGGCTGCGCTTCGAGCCCTTCGCAGTTGTACTTCGGAAGAGGCTGGGTGCTCGCCGAGCGCCCAGTTGGGCAGCTGGGCCCAGGCTCCTGCTCGGCTTGAGCCAGAGGGTACCAGATGCCAGCACCCAGCAGGTGCTGTGGTTTTTCTGTTTAGCCTCGTTTCTTTTTCCAACACGGTCTATCTACTGCTTTTTTTTTTTTTAAGTTATTTTATTTATTTATTTATTTAGTCACACCCGGCCATGCACAGGGGTTCCTCCTGGCTCTGCACTCAGGAATCACCCCTAGCGGTGCTCAGGGGACCATATGGGATGCTGGGAATTGAACCCGGGTTGGGCGTGTGCAAGGAAAACGCCCTACCCGCTGTGCTATCTCTCCAGCCCCTCTACTGCTCTTATTTTTATGTACAAATGATTAAAGAGACTAATCATAAAAGTTATTTGTGTGTGGGAGGGGGCTTGGAGAAGGAAGAGGCAGGCTGAGAGCCACGAGGAGGGTCTCTGGGCACTTTGGAGATGGTGATGGGCCAGAAACTGGGTACACTAAAGCCACAAGTAGTGACCCTCGTAACTGTAGGACTTAACCCACAAGGAAAGGAAGTATTTTGGTTTGACTTTTGGACCACACCCAGCGGTGCTCAGGACTTCCTCCTGGTGTCGTACCGGGGATCGAACCCTGGTCGGCACGTGCAAGGCGAGGGCCATACTTGCTGTATTATCGCTCTCACCCCATCTGATCTGACAGTCTCCTATAACCCTTTTTGTTTCTTTTTTTTTAGTGGCTATACGTGGCTGCGCTCAGGGCTGACTCCTGGCTCTGTGCTCAGAGATCACATCTGGCAGGCTCAGGCTCAGGGGACCATGTAGGGTCCCGGGGTCAAGGCAAGCATCCTCCCCACTGTACTCTCACTCCAGCCCCTCTCTGGAGTTGGTTTTTTGTTTTTGGATCCTCTCTGGTGGTGCTTCAGGGGACCACGTGGTACCAGGGATTGAACCCACGGCCACCAGTGGTCAAAGCATGCACTTAGCCCATCGAGCTCTCTGCATTTTTTTTTTAAAAGTTGCTTTTCTTCATGCTCCGAGCAAAATCAAGCATTGTTACTTCTTTGTTTTCTGTATTTTATTTACTAAAATGTTAAAAAATAAAAATGAGTCAGAGCAGTAGTACAGTGGGTAGAGCATTTGCCTTTCACACAGCTGACCTGCCGGGTTTGGTTCCCGGCATCCCTTGTGGTCCCTGAGCACCTCTAGGTGTGATTCCTGAGTGCAGAGCCAGGGGTGAGCCTGAGCATCTGCCCCATGTGACAGAAAGCTAATCAATCAATCAATCACAGTTGTGTCACTGTGAGTTACAGAGTTACAAAGATCGTCATGATTGTCAGGCTACAGTGTTCCAGCACCACCCATCCCTTCTCCAATGCCCCCCACCCTCCACCCACACCCCCATTTCTCTCCAGGTTAGCATCCTTGCAGACTTGCACAGAAGACATTTCTTCTTGGAGTCTTTCGAGTTTGCCTTTTTTCTCTCACTAATTTTGTGTGGCTGTTTTGGGGGTCACACCCAGCAATGCACAGGGGTTACTCCTGGCTCATGCTCTCAGGAATTACTCCTGGTGGTGCTCAGGGGACCACATGGGATGCCGGGAATCGAACCCAGGTCGGCCGTGCGCAAGTCAAACACCCTACCCGCTCTTCTATTGCTCCAGCCCCTCTGCCGTTCTTTTGTGGGCAGAAACCTGGGGGCAGTCTTCTGGGGTCAGGCATGCTAGCTTTTCTATCTCCCTCCCGGTGCACCTGTGCTTTTAGCCTTTTGAGAATCCCCCCCACGCGACAGGGTGGGAGCACCGTGTATACTACCCCTGCGGGCTCGGCCATTTCCCTGCTACTTTTCATTCCCTTCGGCTAGGAGAGGAGCGAGTCTCTTGGGATAGTTTTGCCTGTTTCATCCTCCTGTGCTGTCCTCTCTCAACCAGATGTGTGTCACCTGTCTCTGGAATGGGACAGTACCTTGGGGTGGGGCTGTGTCATTGGGGGCTCGTGGCTGGTGCTGGTAGGTGCTAATCTCTGCCGGGGTGGGCCTCAGGAAGCCCCTTCCTGTCGTGTGCTGTTGCCTCTGCGCGGGGGTTTCCTAAACAGCGCGGCGGAGGCTTGGGGGCCATGCCAGGGGGTGCTTTGCCCTTGGGCTGTACCAGTCAATGCTCAGACTGGAGGGGCTGGGGTTCCCCCCTATGGTGCTTGAAGCCAGGCAGTGCCCGGGATCCCGTTGGGGTGTCCGCGCATGCCCAGGGCGCGGCCTGGACAGCTGAGTGCTCTCCCCAGCCCCTCTGCCCGGCCTGACCAAGTCCCTTCGCTCCTGGTGTCCCAGGGCCTCCCCCCCGGGCGAGACGGCACTGGTCAGTCCGGGTGTGTTCAGGACAGGGGTGTTGGGGCGGGGGTGGGTCTGGCTCTAGAATCTGGCTCTAGAATCCACTCTGGGATCTAGAATCAGTTGCCGTCAGGGCACGGCGCTGCCCTTTGCTGCCGCGATCGCAACGGTCTCACTGGCCTGCCTCGTGTGCTCCCAGGACCCAGCCCTGAGCGTGGGAATTTGGTGGTAGGCCGAGTCAGATGGTCCCATGAGTACTCCCACCCGGCGCCTCACATGCTGGGTCCAGGGCCGCCAGCGGCCCCAGGCTCTGCCCCTAACTCCGGCTTCCACCCCTTTACCTTGGCCGCCTCCGGTTGCTAGAGGGACCCGAGGGCTCTGTGGTTCCGGGGTTGCCAGGCGCTTTGGGACCAGGAAGTCTTTTCCTCTTGGTTTGTGACGATCCTGCAGGGTTCACAGGAGAAGGTGCAGTGATGAGCTTCCTGCTGGGGACACTCGGAGGGAAGGAGGACGGGGCCAGTGAGCCCTCGAGTGACTCAAGAAGGGTCATTCAAATAGCACCAGGCAGGCCACACCCCCCGGGGCACGGGGAGCACTCCAGGCAGGGCTCGGGTACTATATGGGTTGCCAGGGATGGAAATCGGGTTGGCCACATGCAAGGAAAGCTCCCTACCTACTGTACTATCACTCCGGGGCCCCAAAAGTCAATTGTTTCACCTAAGCACCAAACAGGCCAAGTATTCCTGGATGTGGTTTCTATTTAAAAATAAACAAAGGGGCTGGAGTGATAGCACAGTGGGTAGGGTGTTTGCCTTGCACACGGCCCGACCCGGGTTCGATTCCCAGCACCCTATATGGCCCCCTGAGCATCGCCAGGAGTAATTACTGAGTGCAAAGCCAGGAGTAACCCCTGAACATCGCTGGGTGTGACCCAAAAAGCATAAAATAAATAAATAAATAAAGGTTCCAGTGTAGCGCAAAAATTTTAAATGTAATTTTTGTAAAATTTATTAGCTGGAGTTTAGTTTATAGTTTGCTGCAGGTTGACTTTAGGTTGACCTTGCGACCACTCACTACTTTCGGACTAGCCTGGAGCGATAGCACAGCGGGTAGGGCGTTCGCCTTACAAGCGGCCAACATGGCCGACCCGAGTTCGATTCCTCCGCCCCTCTCGGTGAGCCCGGCAAGCTACCGAAAGTATTCGATATGCCAAACACAGTAACAACAAAGTCTCCAATGGAGACGTTACTGGGCCCGCTCGAGCAAATCGACGATCAACGGGAGGGCCTTTACCTTTTACCTTATTAGCTGGAGCCAGAGTGCTAATACAGGGGTTAAGACGTTAGTGTAGTACAGGTTAGTTCAGGCATAAAGATACTTGGTTAACCCTGGCTAGATCCCCTGTACTCCATAGGTCCCCAACAAGCACATCCAGGAGTGAGCCCAGGCACAGAGCCAGGAGTAAGCCCTGAGCCCTGTTAGGTGTGGCCCCAAAACAAAACAAAAATGACCATTAACTCCCTCTTGCTCCTGAATTCTCCTGGCCCAAATACCTGATGTTACGATAGAGAGGCCGGGTGAGCGGAATATCCTCCCAGGCTAGCAGCAGCGGCAGGCAGGCTTCTAGCCTGGAGGATATTCTAGGGTAATTCATTTTGTGTTGGATGCTGTGGAGGGAAAGGGAAAGAGCTAGCTGGGTTTCTTGCTTCCTGACCCTCTTTTTCCCTTTTCCTTCCCCCAGGACTCTGATAGACTAATGGAGCAACAAGGAGCGCTATTAAAACGGCTGGCCGAAGCGGACACAGAGAAAGCGGTAACGGAGACGCCCCACCGGCACCCCCCACCGCGCGCACGCACACGCGCGCACACACACACGCACGCACACACGCACACACACACACACACACTGATGCCCTGCCAGCACCTCTTCCCCCCATCCCCCCCCACACACACGCTCACACGCTGTCATTTCTCTGGATCAGTTCCATGGTGTCGACTTGGCCTGAAGTCTCTGTGCCACTGGCTTCTCTGGTCTTAGTTGCTCTCCTGAGAGCCAGACGTCCCAATGCTGTCGATTTATACTTCATGTCACTGTTTCCCACATTCCCTATAACACTGACTTTTCTTTAACTTAAGAATTCCGGGACTGGAGCGATAGCACAGCGGGTAGGGCATTTGCCTTGCATGCGGTCGACCTGGGTTCGATTCCCAGCATCCCATAGGGTCCCCTGAGCACCGCCAGGGGTAATTCCTGAACGCAGAGCCAGGAGTGACCCCTGTGCATTGCCGGGTGTGACCCAAAAAGGAAAAAAAAAAGAATTCCAGTTGGTGGGGCTGGAGAGATAGCACAGCAGGTAGGGCATTTGCCTTGCATGCAGCTGACCCGGGTTCAATTCCCAGCATCCCATATAGTCCCCTGAGCACCACCAGGGGTAATTCCTGAATGCAGAGACAGGAGTAACCCCTGTGCATCGCCAGGTGTGACCCAAAAAGCAAAAAACAAAAAAACAAAGAATTCCAGTTGGTGGGGCTGGAGCAATAGCACAGCGGGGAGGGCGTTTGCCTTGTACGTGGCTGACCTGGGTTCGATTCCCAGCATGCCATATGATCCCCTGAGCACCGGCAGGAGTAATTCTTGAGTGCAGAGCCAGGATAACCCCTGTGCATTACCACATATGACCCAAAAAGCAAAAAAAAAAAAATATTCCAGTTGGGGCCAGTGTAATAGTACAGCAGGGAGGGCATTTGCCTTGCACACAGTTGACCCAGGTTTAATTCCCGGCATCCCATATGGTTCCTGGAGCATCACCAAGGGTAATTCCTGAGTGCAGAGCCAGGAATAAACCCTGAACATCGATGGGTGTGACCCTAAAAGAAAAAAAAATTTTTTTTTCCCAGCTCTTAGCAGTATGCTTCAAAGCCGGTTTCCCAGCACCCTGAGTGCCTCAGGGGGTTAATGGTTGGGGGATAGAAGGGGATAGTCTGGAGGTTAAGGGGTCAAGGCACTGCCTTGTGTGCAATCCCACACCCAGCACTGCTTCGGGTCTCCTGCGCACCTTGGCGAGAGATCCCTGAGCACAGAACCCCAGAATAAGCTCTGAGAACTGCCAGGTGTGTCCCAGAAAATAAAACATTTACCAAAAATGTTAAGGATGCCAGAAACAGGAATTCTTCCCCAAAGTGATTGGGGTCCCACTGGCTGACCTGAAGAAAGTTGGACTGTGAGCCTTTGATGGGTGTCCTCCTGCCTCTGAGGGACAGAAGGGGGCCATGTCCCATGCCGGCTCCCCGTCCCTAGGGCTGGGCTGGAAGGCACTGGGGCCGTGGAGGCTGGCAGTTAGGGGGAACAGTACCTGAACCCATGTCCCCATCCCGGCTGTGTCCCGTCCTTGCTCGGTGATGGTGCTGAAAGAAAGAAAATGTTAAATGCCATTTCAAAAGTGACAGGAAGGGGCCTGGCAAGATGATGTAGTGGATAGGGCATTTGGCTTGCCGGGTTCAATGCCTGGCACCACCTATGGTCACCTGAGCAACGTCAGGAGTGATCCCTGAGCACAGAAGCCCAGGAGTCAGCCCTGAGCTCCACTAGGTGTCACCCCACCCCTCACCCAATAAAAAAAAAAAGGGGCAGAAGGTCTAGTCCAGAGTTGAGGTGCTGACTGCACCGCCTGACTCTAAGGTGTCCTCCACGTGGTTCTGGGTGGGATAGTGGGGGTTCTCCAACATGTGTGGGTGTTTTCCACCCATCGCCTTGTTTCAATGTACAAATGAGGGTGATGTTTGTGGGTTGGAAGAGTTCAGTGGGACGCTTGGTGCTTCTCCGCCTTGGCCATCTTTGGCGGGATTTTGGGAGTCCCGGCCAAGTCTCCTTCCCGCGGGCCGCCTGCCACCTCCCAGGCTGCTCACGGCGCCCGTGTTCTCCCGCAGCGTCTGCTGTTATTGCTGCAGGACAAGGATAAGGAGGTGGAAGAGCTCCTCCAGGAGATCCAGTGCGAGAAGGTAGCCCCCGCCCCCGACGCCCAGCTCCGCGCCTCCGACAGCCACCCGCCTTCCCACTCCCGCCTGAGTGTCTCGTCTCTCCCCAGGCTCAAGCAAAGACAGCAGCCGAGCTGTCCAAGTCCATGGAGTCCATGCGCGGACACTTGCAAGCCCAGCTGCGCTGCAAGGAAGCCGAGAACAGCCGCCTATGTATGCAGATCAAGGTAGCTGCGGGGTTGGGGGCTGGAGCCATAGCACAGCGGGGAGGGCGTTTGCCTTGCATGTTGCACGCGGCCAACCTGGGTTCAATTCCCAACATCCCATGTGGTCCCCTAGCACTGCCAGGAGTAATTCCTGAGTGCAGAGCTAGGAGGAACCCCTGAGCATCGCTGGGTGTGACCTAAAAAAAAAAAAAAGGCAAGGTGGTGGTTGGCGCTATCACCGCCCAGACTCTGCCACTCCCCAGGGTTTTGCCCCAAAGGCTTATGGGGTGCTACTGCTGGAGTCTTTCTGCTTCAGAGATTCCCACAGCATCTTGGGGATCCCCGTTCTGCTGAAGAGCCCCTCCAAAGAAAACAATTGGGAGGGGCTGGAGCGATAGCACAGCGGGGAGGGCGTTTGCCTTGCATGCAGCCGACCCAGGTTCCATGCCCAGCATCCCATATGGTCCCCTGAACCCCTCCAGGAGTAATTCCTGAGTGCATGAACCAGGAGAAACCCCTCTGCAATGCCGGGTGTGACCCAAAAAGCAAAAAAAAGAAAAACAATTGGGAGATTTCAGGCCAGCACTGCTGGAGGCCCCACGATTAGACTGTTAGACTGGGGGCTTTGAGCCCTTCAACCTTCATCGTGGCCGTGGCTTGGGGACTGTGGCTTGGGGACCCTCTGCAGTCACTCCCCTGCTGGGTGACCCCTGGGCTGGATGTCCAAGGAAAGATCCAGAAACTTTTTGGTCCCACCCGGACCTGCGTCAGGCCCTCCCTAGCCTGGGGGAAGGGGAGCCCCCCACACTGCGCCCCCGCGGCTGAGGCCTTCTCGGCCCTGGCCAGAACCTCGAGCGCAGTGGCAACCAGCACAAAGCGGAAGTGGAGGCGATCATGGAGCAGCTGAAGGAACTGAAACAGAAAGGTGACCGGGACAAGGAGTCTTTGAAAAAGGCCATCCGCGCCCAGAAGGAGCGAGCCGAGAAGAGCGAGGAGTACGCCGAGCAGCTGCACGTGCAGCTGGCCGACAAGGTGGGGGGTCGTGGGGGGCCCGACAAGGTGGGGGTGCTCGTGGCGGCTGGTGAGGAGCCGGTTTTACAAGTGGCACTTGGCACAGGCAGGAAATTGAGGAGCTGCAGGCGGGGTCCAGCCCTCAGTCTCCCTCCACCTGACAATGGGGAGAGAGGTTCCAGGGGCGGGCCAGGGGGCAGCAGTGTTCAGAGGGACCCCGGACCCAGCTGTCTGACCTTCGGCACTGACGCTGGGCTGTGGGCCCTGTGGGCTGTGTCTGTCCCCAGGACCTTTATGTCGCCGAAGCTCTGTCCACCCTGGAGTCATGGAGGAGCCGCTACAACCAAGTTGTCAAGGACAAGGGGGACCTCGAGCTGGAGATCATCGTCCTGAACGAGTAGGTCCTGGGCGGGCCCCTCACGGCACTCCCTGAGGGCCCCAGCTCTGACACCTGGTCCCTCTCGGGGCCCCTTGTGCCTGCCTGCCCTGTGTGTATTCTCAGGTGCTGATTGTCCCTTGTCAGGGTCAGTGAGATGGGCATCTTCAGTGACTCACACACCTGCTGTGTGTCCCAGGCTCTTCGTCCGGTGTCACTCCTGGGGGTGACACTGTGGCCCAGAGGAGAAGTGGAGGCTGCCTTGATGGGCCTCGCTCGGGGGTGGGTGTGGACCTAGCAAGGCTTTTTCTCTGTGTCCCACTGACCCGGCCCTGGGGAGTTCCCTACCTGGCGTAAAACAGCAGCCCGCAGCTAGAAAAGGGGGCCAGGCGATAGCACGGCTGACCCAGGGTGGATCCCTGGCATTCAGTAGTGTCCCCGGAGGCACATCAGGTGTGATGAAGTACCAGGAGGCTGACCTGAGCCCTGCCAGTGTGGCCCAGAAAGACAAACCAAACCTGAGGGGAGAGGCTGCAGCTGGGGGACCTGGGGGGAGGCCCCGAGGGATGAGGCCTGCGCTTGGCCCTTGAGGGATGAGGGGCGTTTGCCCGGGAAAGCGGCCCCCTGAGTTGATTAGTTGATTGGTTCTGGCCGTGCTGGAGACATCCTGGGAAAGGATGAGGCTTGAGGCTCGGCCTCTCCTTGACCACTCCAGCCCCTGTGTTGGTGACGTCAGGGAGCACCTCGCTCTGGTCCAGACTCCCAGTGGCAGCTTCCTTCCACTACCTGGTGGCTGGGGGGGGGCGCACACTCCTGCAGGCCCCCCCTCACACGCTCCGAGGCCCAGAGAGCTCTAAGGAGACAGTTCTCAGGAACCTTCGGGTCACTCAGCCTCACTGGGCACCTGCAGCAGTGGGTTTTGTGGACTGAAGCCCAGGGTGAGCTTGGAGTTGGGAGGGAGAGCTTCTGCCTCTCCCGCTCAGTGCTCCACTTTCCGCACCTCTGTGCCACACCTCTGCGCTTCTCTGAGCCTTCCTTCACTGGACCTTTGAGTCCCTCAAACCTTTGGCCGTCTGGTACCTGACCCCAGCACTGCCCCTCTGCCCCTCCCCTCAGGCCTGCCTGAGTCCCGCCCTCTATTCTTATTGGTTTCCCTGGCAACCAGCAGCCGCACAGGGGTGCTGCCTCCCCCAGTCACCTCCAGCACTCAGGCTTGGGGGAGCAGGAGTCTGGGACCCTGTGGAGCACGCATGCGTGAGAAATGGGGCTTTGGGTGGGTTTCTGAATGACCGAGATCATTCAGCTTTCCTGGCTCATCATAATGTGATCGCAGGTATGATTAGATGGGTTATATTTTTTATTGGAAACGCCATTTCTGCTAATTTATATGAAAATATTCTTGAAATGGGCCAGAACAACGGGATGGAGCATGTGCTAGGTACGTGACAGATCAATCAATTCAATCCCTGGTAGCCCATATGGATCCCAAGCCCTGCCAGTCATAAGCCGTGAGCACTGCTAGGTGCGACCAATCCCCTATGCCTCCCTCCAAAAATATTCTTTTTGGGTGGGGTGCACACCGGGGATGCTCAGGGGTTACTCTTGGTTCTGCAGTTGCATTATTCCTGGTAGTGCTTGGCGGACCATGTACGGTGCCTAGAATGGAGGCTAGGTCAGCCGCATGCAAGGCAAGTGCCTTGCCCGCTGGACTATTTCTCCACCCCGTAGTACTATTTATTGGGGTAATGCTGGGGACTGAAACCCAATAAATAATCAAACCCTAATGCAAGGCTAGTTCTTTGCTGTTTTGCTGTTGAGTCACATCCAACTGTACTTTTTTTTTTCGCCTTTTGAGTCACGCCTAGCGAGCCAGGGGTTACTCCTGGCTCTCCACTCAGGAATTGCTCCTGGCGGTGCTTGGGGTATCATAAGGGATGCTGGAATTGAACCCGGGTTGGGCACATGTAAGGTAGATGCTCTCCCCGCGGTGCTATCTCAGTCCCAAAAGAAAAATGGTAGTGGGTGTCTCCAGGTCCCTACAGTGACCTGCCCAGTGGGATGCCCTACGCAGGAGGCAGCGGGTGGCCGGCCCCGCGGGAACCACAGCGGACAGGGCTGTGGCAGGGCAGTTGCTTCTTGGGATAGAAGTTGGGCAGAGATGAGCGAGTTGGGCAGGGACAGGGGCACGTGATCTGGTAGGAACGCCCGCTTGCGGCCGCAGAGTCTGAGCGGCTGATTCGGTTTCCGCTTCTCCCAGCCGGGTGACAGATCTCGTGAACCAGCAGCAAACCTTAGAGGAGAAGATGCGGGAAGACCGGGACAGCCTGGTGGAGAGACTGCACCGCCAGACTGCTGAGTACTCTGCATTCAAGCTCGAGAACGAGAGGCTGAAGGTGGGGACTCAGCCCGGGGTGGCTGGGGAGGGGGGGGGACCACAGAGCTCTCCAGAGGGCCTCACTCGGCCGCCCCCTGGCCACAGGGTCTGGGCGAGGGGCTTGTGAACAGGCTAACCACTGTCCATAGGGCAGGAATCAGGCCCAGGAGAGCTGACCGCTGTCCATAGGGCAGGAGTCAAGCCCAGGAGAGCTGACTGCTGTCCACAGGGCAGGAATCAGGCCCCGGGCATCTCCTCCTGACTTGGGGCACTCGCTCTTCTTCCCTCACTGTGCGCCCCTTTGGGCACGTAAGCAGGTGGGGCTTGGGGACAGCGGGGCCATCCCAGGCAGCACCTGAGTGGTGACAGCGAGGTTCGTTTTCTTCCGGCCTTTAAGATTGCTTGAGGGAAGGACAGCATGCAGCCAGGTACACAGGAGGAAGGGCTTTGTCCAGTGGTCAGCCTGCAGTGCCCCCGCATTGGGTGACCTCACTTGGTGGCACTGTCGCGCGCGGCTCGTGTGTGTGTGTGTGTGTGTGTGTGTGTGTGTATCTCCTGGCAGAGTGAAGGAAGCCCTGAGCGCAGAGCATCACCTCCATTGTGTTCAGGAGCTTGTCATGCTGGGTGTGGCCTCTTCCTCCTCCCCAGAGCCATGCGGAGAGTGTGTGTGTGTGTGTGTGGTGGGGGGACACACCCCAGCGTGCTTAGGCTGTCCACGGTTGATGGCAGTTCACGGTGTAGACTATTGGGTTTGCCTGGTTCCAGTGTAGATCCAGAGCATTTTCAGATTCAGAAACCGTGGGGTAAAATGGCTGGGTCACTGGATGGACAAGTCCAGCCTTGGTAGATGTTGCCAGACAGCAAAACACTTGGAGCAGCGTCCACTCCCCTCTGGGCTGTGAGCACTGACCCTTGCTGTCCTGTACCTGACAGGGCCTGTGGCTCTTTCATTTCTGCTGCACCCCTGGGCAAGTGTCAGCTTCGCATTTCGTTTGGCACAATTGTTAGTGGAACACAAGCTCGAGTCTGATGGGTCCCCGGGCTGGAGCGATAGCACAGGGGAGGCACCTGCCTGGCATGTGGCCGACCCAGGTTGATCTGCAGCATCCCAGGATGGTCCCCAGATTCCCACCAGGTGCAATCCCTGAGCACAGAGCCAGGAGTCAGCCCTGAGCACTGCTGTGCTGTGTGGTGGAAGATGGTGGCATAGGGCCCAAGATGGAGCTCTGGGTTCAGTTCTGTATCACTGGGGTGATCCCTGGGTCACTGTCACTGTCACTGTCCTCTCGTTGTTCATCGATTTCCTCGAGCGGGCCCAGTAACATCTCCATTGTGAGACTTTGTTGTACTGTGTTTGGCATATTGAATACATCACGGGTAGCTTGCCAGGCTTTGCCGTGCAGGCCAGATACTCTCGGTAGCTTGCCGGGCTCTCCGAGAGGGGCAGAGGAATCAAACTCGGGTCAGCCATGTTGGCTGCATGCAAGGCAAACGCCCTACCCACTGTGCTATTGCTCCAGCCCCTGACTTGTTTTTCTTGAATGATTCTGGGAGGCCTTTGCAACAAGGGCAAGAAAACTACCCATTTGTGTTTGCTCGAGTCTTACGGGTTCTGGGAGAAGTGGGGGCATGGGTGGGAGGAGGTAGACGCCCCTGGGTGCTGGGGCTGACTGCTGTGGGCCCGCCCTGCCCTCACAGGCTAGCTTTGCCCCAATGGAGGACAAGCTCAACCAGGCGCACCTGGAAGTGCAGCAACTGAAAGCATCCGTCAAGAACTACGAGGGAATGATTGACAACTATAAGAGCCAGGTAAGGCCCGCCCAGTGGCTGGGGATGGGGTAGGGGGGCACCCCCAGACCTTGCCTCCGAGACCTGACTGCACGTGATTTTGGCCCCCAGGTCATGAAGACCAGATTGGAGGCAGACGAAGTGGCTGCCCAGCTGGAACGCTGTGACAAAGAGAACAAGATCCTTAAAGATGAGATGAACAAAGAGATTGAAGCGGTTGGTACTCACCCCACCCACTCCACTCCCCACTCCCCCTGCTCCCCAGGGCCCCTTGATCATTCTTTCCAGGTTTGGAGACCAGATTCATGCCATTGCTAGGCCGCCCCCTCCTCTTTTTCTTTTACTGCTTGTCTTCAAAATAGCCCGCCTCAGGGCCTGGAGCGATAGCACAGCGGGTAGGGCGTTTGCCTTGCACGAAGCTGACCGAGGTTCGATTCCCAGCATCCCATATCGTCCCCCAAGCACCACCAGGTTAATTCCTGAGTGCATGAGCCAGGAGTAACCTCTGTGCATCGCAGGGTGTGACCCAAAAAGCAAAAAACAAAAAAAAACAAAATAGCCCACCTCAGGCCAGAGTTATAGTACAGCCAACCCAGGTTCAATCCCCAGGACTCATATGGTCCCCCAAGCACTGCCAGGAGTGATTCCTGAGTGCAGAGCCAGGAGTAAGCCATGAGCATCGCTGGTTGTCACCCAAAAAGAAAAAAAAAAAACCACCTCGATATAATTAATTATTGTGAACAACTTTATAAAAATTAATTTAAAAAAATAAATAGCCCACCTCAGATCCAAGAGATTGTATGGAGTTGGGCACTTGCCTTGCATGTGGCTCACCGTAGTTCAATCCCCGACACCACCTGTGGTCCCCTGAGCACTCCTAGGAGTCACTCCTGAGCACAGAGCCAGGAAGAATGGAAGAATGGAGCTCCATCAGGTGTTCCCCTACACCCCCACTCTCCTGCTCGGCGTCACAAAGTTGATCCAGACCCTGGCTCACAGGGCCCCCACCTTTATTTCGGGCCAGCCCCAAAATGGGGCTCCTCGCTTCTCCAGGGCCCACGGACTTCTCTGGAAGCCAAAAGACCATCTTAGTGGCGATTTTGGACAATGGTTGAATCGAGACTCAGCCCTGCCACACACCCTGTGGTCGGTCCTTCCCAGTCCGAAGGCTGGCCTGTCCCTCCCTCCCTGCCCAGCCCCCAGCACCGTGACTGCAGCAGGGCTTTGGCCAGTGACTCCTCGGCTCTCCCTTTGTGTCCTCCCAGGGGGCAGCGGCAGCTCCTTTCAGGAGGACCCGGAGGGCCCCGAGTGGCCAGCCGGGGTGGGTGTCTGCTGCGCGGCCACCTTGGTGGGGTGCTCCAGACGTCTCCCGGGTGCGTCCCTTGGGACCGCAGGATTCTTGGGGCCCTTCCCAACGGCGGTTCCTCTCTCCTGCCCCCGCAGGCTCGCAGGCAATTCCAGTCCCAGCTGGCTGACCTCCAGCAGCTCCCCGACATCCTCAAGATCACCGAGGCGAAGCTGGCCGAATGCCAGGACCAGCTGCAGGGCTACGAGAAGAAGAACATCGACCTCACAGCCATCATCTCCGACCTGCGCAGCCGGGTAAGGGACTGGCAGAAGGGGTCCCACGATCTGGCCCGAGCAGGGTCCCGCTTACCAAGATGAGCTGCGCCTTCCGAGGGAGGACCACTTCCTTTTTCTGGCTGCCACGTTCTGAAAGGAGTGAGCTATCATCAGTGCTGTGAAATAAAAGTCTGGTGTGCCAAATGCCTGTGTGTGCACCAGTGATTATAAGCCGTAGGAGCCGCCTCTCGGACCGCTCTTGCTCCGCCCTTACGCGCCCCCCGCCCCCTGCCCGCTCCTGCTCTTCCCTTCTTAGCCTTAACCCCCCGCCCCCAACTAAACGTGAATGGAGCCACCAGCCAGCCCCAAGCGCTGGCCACCGCCTCCCTTCTCTCTCTCTCCTTCTCTCACTCGCTCTCTCCCTCTTGCTTGCTTGCTCGCTATAGCTCCCTCTCTCCCCTCAGCAATCCCATCACCTGGAGGTTCCGGTGGGGAAATGCTCTGTCTGACAGACAGTGTGACCTTGGGCAAGTCCCTTCCCCTCTCGCCACCTGCTGCTTCGTAACAAGAAAAATCAAATCGTGCTTGATGGGAGTCAGGGGGCCAGGGCGAGGATGGCGGGTGGGGAGTGCATCTTCCGTGTTCCAGGATTTATTTAAATTCACCCGGAAACATGAGGAGACGGTTGTTCTTTGCTCCCTCGTTTCCTGGGAAGCAGCTGCAGCACAGAGGGGGAGATCGTTTCCTGAGGTCACAACAGCCGATGCTTTGGAGGAATCTTGCCGGGCACTGTCCAGGTTCCTTGCTTCGTGCCAGCACTTGCTTTCTCTCGAGTCTGAACTTTCTGGAAGCCTTGAGTGCTCATTCTCTTGGAACTCCGATGGCCTGCACCCGCAGCCCGCTTGGAAGGAAGTCTGCGTCCTCAGCAGCCACTCTGGCTCCTGTGCGGCCCAGGCGGGCTGCCTGCCTCCCGCGGCTGGTGTCCGAGGCGTGGCTCCACTGGCCCCTGCAGCTTCTGATGGAGAGAGCAGTGCGGTGGGTCTGCGGGTCCAACAGCTTCTCGGCGCTGACAGCCTTCCGCTTTAGGAGCCGGGCTTAGCTCAAGCCTCCCTGCCCAGGATGTGTTGCGGAGACTCATCACGGCGGCTGCATCTTGCCTGGGAGCCGGGCCGCAGGAGGCGGCCGGGAGGGCGGTCGTGGGAAGTTGTGGCATAAACCGGTCTGTGTTCCTGTCATTTTAGATCGAACACCAGGGGGACAAGCTGGAGATGGCGCGAGAGAAACATCAGGCCTCCCAGAAGGAAAATAAAGAGCTGAGTCTGAAGGTGGATGAACTGGAGAGGTTAGAGGCGCTTGGCCCCATCTCTGTCCTCTTCCTAGGACCTGAGACTTCCGCCGCTGAGCTGCTTTGGGCTTAGCGTGTGCAAGTGTGAGGGACTTGAGGCCCTGGAAGGTACTAGGCAGACCTCAGAGGAGTCCTGCTTTGGGGCAGTGGTAAGCACCGGGCAAGAGGAAGGGCCGTCTTGCGTCTGTGTATCTGCACTCAGATTGCCCAGAGATGTGCATGGCAGCACGTGGCGCCAACCTCCTGGCCCAAACGCCCGACTCTGCTCTTTGTCCCGTCATCCTCCCCAACTGCCCCTTCTGGTGCTTGCTGGACCTCAGACAGGGCAGGGGATGAGCTCACCTTCTGTTAACTGAAGCCTTCTGGTACCCTGTCCTGTAATCTCAGGAAACCATTGAGCACTTGGAACCTCAGTTGGCTCGTGGGGAGAAGGTGGGAAACAAGTTGGCTGATTAGTTTCTTGGGGTGTGAACAGACAGGCCTGAACTCCACAAGAGTTCAGTGATTTGCTCCAGGCCACAGAGCTGCAGCCTGGACCGTGGGCAGGACAGCTGCCTGGGAGCTTAGAGCATCTGCAAAGCGAGGGCTGGAGCCAGAGTCCCAAGGGGCTACTGGTGCCCATCTGTGAGGCACTAGGACATTTCGGCCCTCAGGTCCCGCCTCTGCCAGCGGCCTCCAAGACTTCGTAGGGCTCCTTAAACTGGAAGGTGTTCTGGAAGTACGGCAGGGGTACGCGGCGACGGGCCCTGCTCATTGCGCATTCCTGGCCAGTCCCATGAGATGCTGTGTGGGCCTTGGCCAAAGCCCACCGTGCGGGCAGCAGTGACCAGCAGATGGAGGCCAGGGTTGGGGTGACGACATGCTGGCTGGGCTGCCTTTGCAACAGTGGCTTCACCTGCAGCGCCCCCACCCCACTGGGCTGCGGGGTGCCGGGCGTTGTCCACATGCAGCTGTGGACATGGAGCCCTGCCTGGCTCAAGCTCTACACCAGCTCTTTCCACCGGCTGCCCCATCACACGCGTCCCTGCTGCCTGACGTGCCCACCGCTGGCCTTCAGTCCTGTGGCTCCTTGGAGCTTCTCGGCGTGAGGTGCTCGTTGGCCAGATGGCCGCCCCCTAGGCGGGGCGCATCAGGACAGACGGGGTCCCTGCAGGACCTGACTTGAGCGCTCTCTCTAGGAAACTGGAGGCCACCAGCGCCCAGAATCTCGAGTTCCTCCAGGTGATCGCCAAGAGGGAGGAGGCCATCCACCAGTCCCAGCTGCGACTGGAGGAGAAGACGAGGGAGTGCGGCTCGCTGGTGCGACAGCTGGAGAACGCCATCGAGGACGCCCGCAGGCAGGTCCGTCGGCGCCCATCTCCCAATCCAAGAAATGGGCACGTGGGCGCGGGGTTCCTCGGAACGGGTGGAAAGGATCCGGTGAGCCACCCACTGGGGAGAAGGACTCAGCCTTCTTGTTGGGTCGGGCTGCGCCTGCGGTGTCCGGGGCCCTGGCGCAGTGGCCGCCTTTTTTTTTTTTTTGAAATTTTTTTAATGAATCACCGTGAGATACATTTCCAGACTTACTAACTTTCGTGATTACATTTCAGTCATACAATAATCGAGTACCCATCCCTCCAGCAGTGCCCATTCACCACCGCCAATGTTCCCAATATCCCTCCCGCCACCCCCATGCGCTCCCCCCCACCCCCGCCTCTACGGTGGACACATTCCCTTTTACTCTCTCTCTCCCTTTGGGTGTTATGATTTGCAGTGCGTGTAGTGGCCATCATGTTTGGTCTATAGTCTACTTTTAGCACGCATCTCCCATCCCGAGCGAGTCCTCGAAGCATCATTCACTTAGTGGTCCCTTCTCCATCCCAGCTGCCTTTTCAAACCCCAGCATGTGTGAGGCCGGCTTCCAAGCCGTGGAGCGATCCTCCTGGCCCTTATCTCTCTTCTCCTTGGGTGATAGTCTCCCATTCTGTGACTTTATATTCCACAAATGAGTGCAGTCATTCGATATCTGTTGCCTTTACACTCATTTCACTTAGCACGATACTCTCATGTCCATCTACTGATATACAAATTTCATGATTTCATCTGGGCACCTTTTTCTTGCCTCTTGGTCCCTGGCGTCCTTATTGCCAGGGTCTGACACTGAAGCACGTGGTTGAGAGCACTGGGGGGTGAGGGCAGGGAAGTTGGGCTGCAGACATGCCCAGTGGGGAGCTTCTGCCAGAGACACCTGGACACGCCCCTCGGCTAAGCGCCAGTCTTCGGGACCAGATGGCGGGCAGTCAGCCTCGCCAACCTCCTCCCTATGTGCCTTCTCTGCAGGTGGAGCAAACCAAGGAGCAAGCGTTGTCCAAGGAGCGAGCAGCCCAAAACAAGATCCTGGACCTTGAGACCCAGCTGAGTAGGACCAAAACGGAAGTCAGCCAGCTGCGACGGAGTTGGGACAATGTGAGTAGCCAGGCTAGGAGCACGGGGCTTGTAAGGAGCAGCCGGCCTCCCTGAGGCCTCCGGGGCACGGTGCTCATTGGTCGTCCTGGTGGGCACAGCATGGTTTCTCTCCTTTTCCCAGCATCGAAATCCTCAGGCACCTCCCCCCTCACACACACACACACACACACACACACACACACATACACACACACACACACAAAACCTTTCTTTGGTATGTTTTTCCTTTTTATTTCTGGGCTTCACTTGATGGTACTTATGGCTCGGCTACTCCTGACTCAGTGCTCAGGGAGCCCTGAGGTACCGGGACTGATCACAGGTCACCTGCGTGAGACACATATCTCAGCTCGTTCTGCTTAGCTTCCCCTTTTATTTATTTGTTTATTTATTTGGAAAACAAAAGATGGCATTTACACTTCAAGGACCTTTCAAGTGATGCTCCCGGGCTACTCCCAATGGTACTCAGCTGACCAGTTCAATGCTAGGGGCTGAGGAGACAGTGCTGTTTAGATCCAGGAAGGCTGGTAGCACTGAGGGGCCTAGGACCACATCTGGTTGGGACTCAGCGCTCACCCGGTGGTTGGAGCAGAGCTCAGAGACTCCATGCATACAGTGCTCACACTGTAGCCCCGAGCCCACTGCCTAGCCCCTTACATCGTTGTTTCACATTCACTTGCTTAAATTTTTTATTTTTTATTTTATTATTATTATTTTTTCTTTTTGGGTCACACCCAGCAATGCACAGGGGTCACTCCTGACTCTGCACTCAGGAGTCAGTTCTGGCAGTGCTCAGGGGACCATATGAGATGCTGGGAATTGAACCTGGCTCGGCCGTGTGCAAGGCAAACACCCTACCCGCTGTGCTTTTTTTTTTTTTGGTTTTTTTTTTTTTGTTTTTTGGGTCACACCCAGCGATGTTCGGGTTATTCCTGGTTCTGCACTCAGGAATTACTCCTGGCGGTGCTTGGGGGACCATTTGGGATGCCGAGGATTGAACCCAGGTTGGCCACATGCAAGGCAAACACCCTACCCGCTGTGCTATCACTTCGGCCCCCTCTCCAGCTCCTTTTTATTTAATTTTTGTTTGTTTTTTGGGTCACACCTGGTGATGCACAGGGTTGCTCCTGGCTCTGCACTCAGGAATTACTCCTGGCGGTGCTCAGGGGACCATATGGGATCCTGGGAATCGAACCCGGGTCGACTGTGTGCAAGGCAAATGCCCTACCCGTTGTGCTATTGCTCCAGCCCCACTTACTTAAATTTTTTAATAAAACATGTTTTTTCAGTATATCTCAGAGCTGTGCAGTTGAGGGGATTTTCGGGAAGAAACACCCTTTCCCTTGGCTGCTCCCCAGATCCGCTCCCCGTGCCGAGGGCCCTTCAGGAGTGTCTTCTGTTCTCCTCTCCTCAGGTGGACCGGCGCTACCAGAGCCGGCTGCAGGACCTGAAGGACCGCCTGGAGCAGTCGGAGAGCACCAACCGCAGCATGCACAACTACGTGCAGTTCCTCAAGGCCTCCTACGCCAACGTGTTCGGGGACAACCCTTACAGCAGCTTCCTCACCAGTTCCCCCATCCGCTCACGCTCGCCTCCTGTCTAAGGCTGCGGGTTGTGGGCTGGGAGTCCAGGAGGAGGCCCAGGAGGAGAAGGGCGTGCGAAGTCCAAGTCGCCAAGCCATCGCGCAAGATCCGCTTGGCTCCCCTCCTGCCCGGCGAGACAGTGCCATCAGGATTTTGTCCTTAGCTCAGGGCTCCAGAAAAGTCCGGAAAGCTGCCTGGAGGAGGAGGCAGAAACCAACATTCTCCCCTCTCGGATGTCGCTGCCGGAAAGCAGGTCCCAGTGTCTCTGGCAGGCCTGCTGGGGTACCCAGTTCAACACCCTGTTATCGCTGACAGTGCCTGGTTGGCACGGGGGGCTTTTTCCTCCCGTGTCCTGACACCTCATTTTTGGAGGAACCTTGGTTTTTCTCTGCCCCAGTCCAGCGGCCCTCCACAGCCCGGGCTCTGAGGGTGACCCGTGTTCTCTTTCTGGGTCCCTGAGGGTGCTGGTTTTCCCCAAAGCCACCCTTGCAAGCTCAGGGGCGGCCTCTCGGCCCATGTACCCTTGAGGCCCCTTTTCCGGAAGCACTTCACAGGGGTCGCTGGAGGGCCCCTGTCCAAGTTGAACGTCTCAAAGGGTGACCCCAGGGTCACTCTTGCTCTTTCAGGTTTGTACCTGTGGAATGCATTTATTCTTGGAATTTTTTGTGTTTTTCAAAAGATTTTTTAATCGATATTTAAGCCTTTCTTGGTTGATTCCTCTTACACCATGTGCCCCAACCCTCTTCTGAAAATAAATAAATTGGTAGCGGGAGAGCCAATGGACTTGAAAGGACCCAGTGATTGGAACGTCAGACTTGTGCTGGGCACTGGTTCTTCATCTCCTGTGCGCCATCAGCTCTTGACTAGGGGATTTGTGCATTTGCAAGGCCTGCATGTTCTTGGGGGTAAACGATGTGAACTATTAGGAAAAAGATGGGAGAGGATGCATTATGATTTTGATCTTTTAAAAGGGCTAGAGCTGGGGCTGGAGTGATAGCACAGCAGGTAGGGTGTTTTTCTTGCACACTGCCAAGCCAGGGTTGATTCCCAGCATCCCATATGGTCCCCTGAGCACCGCCAGGGGTAATTCCTGAGTGCAGAGCCAGGAGTAACCCCTGTGCATCGCCAGGTGTGACCCCAAAAGCAAAAAAATAAAAAGGGCTAGAACTATAGTACAGTGGTTAGGGCCTTGCATGAGGCTGACCTGCGTTCTATATCCTGCATCCTATGTGGTTCCCCCAAGCACTGCCGGGAGTGATCCCTGAGGCAGGGCCCAGGTCAGGCCTAAGGACTGCCGTGTATGGCTTGGGGAAACTTAGAATGCTGGGGATTGAACCTGGGTTTCCCAAATGGGCCCTGAGCCCCACCAGGAGTGATCCCTGAGCATGGAGCTAGGAATAAGCCCTGAGCAAGACTCGGTATAGCCCCAAAACAAAGCAAAAATATATTTCTGAATGATAAGATGGTGGGCTATTTTTACGCTCTTCACATTTTCCTTTATTTAAAAGAAAAACCAGACCTGGAGTGATAGTGCGGTGGGTAAGGCTTGCCTGATCCAGGTTTAATCTCTGAAGTCCCATATGGTCCCCCAAACAGTGTCAGGAGTAACCCCCGAGCACAGCTGGTGTAGCCCAAAACCCCGCCCCTCAAAAAAATTTTTAAAAAGAAAAACCAATTCCTAACAGATAAATTCCTAACAGATAAATTACTCAATAAATTATTAAATCTGTGCTAAATTACCCAACCTTTTATTCAAGCTGATATCAGCCTTCTAGTTGAAGTCCAAAGTCTCATTTCCTGGGGGCTGGAGCACACAGGTAGGGCATTTGCCTTGCACGCAGCTGACCCGGGTTTGATTCCCAGCATCCCATATGGTCCCCTGAGCACCGCCAGGAGTGATTCCTGAGTGCTGAGCCAGGAATAACCCCTTAGCATCACCGGGTGTGACCCAAAAAGCAAAAAAAAAAAAAAAGTCTCATTTCCTGTCCTCAAGATAATGGGATCTACAAATTCATCAGGATTTACAGGGGATTTAGTACAGGGGGTAGGTTTGGATGCAGCAGACCCAGGTTGGATGCTTGGCACCACATACATTTTCCTGAGCCCCACCAGGAGTGATCCCTGAGCACAAAGTCAGGAGTGACCCCAGAGCACAGCGGGGGTGGGGGGGGCACGCTCCCAAAGGAAGTAACCACTGGCAGTGCTGGGGGATTACTTGCGATGCCAGGGATTGAACTGGGGTTGGCTGCATGTGAGGCAAGTGCCTTATCTCCTGTGCTCAGTGGTCTTTTGTGTGTTCACAAAGTTGTGGTACTATCACCATGATCACTCTAGAATTTTCCATCACCCAAGCTGAAATCCAGTTTCATTAGCATTCTCTCCCTATTTCCTTCCTCCCAGTCTCCAACCATCACTCATATAGTCTCTTCCTGGGGATTTGTCCTTCTGGACATTTCACATAAATGCAATGATACACACGAGCTTGGGATGCACCGCTTTCAGACATACGTGTTTTCAAGGCCCACCAAGGGTTGGTATTTGGGCTTCCTGGTTAGAACAGCCCCTTGTATAATTGGATCACACTGATTAGGGAGGCAACATTTGGGTTCCTGTCTTTTTTGTTTTGTTTTAGGACCACACCTGTGGTGCTCAGATGTGGTGTTGGGGACCAAACTCGGGGCGGTATTATGCAAGGCAAGTGCCTTACCCGTGTAAGATGACTCCAGCACCCAAGAGCCACACTCTTTAGTTGTAAAGCCTGCTGACAAGGGTGCTCTCCAAAGGTCGGCATTCCTGGCTTGACGCTCTTATAACGGTACACCTTGGGGGGAGGGGGGCCACACCCCTTTGCTTTGTTTTGTTTTGGGTCACAACCAGCGATGCTCAAGGGCTTACTCCCAGTTATGCTCAGGAATCACTCCTGGCGTACTCGGTATGGGGTGCCGGCGACTGCACCGGGTCGGCCGCAAGCAAGGCGAACGCCCCTGGCAAACTGTACGGTGCTCACACGCCGGGCTGGGCGCAGCTTGGAAACCCAGGTCAGCTATCAGCGCTGCCGGGACTCTGCTCAGGAACTTCCGGGCACCACGACCCCCTAAGCGGCTCGCCTGTCTCCCACCGCAGCTGCTCCCTTTCCCATTCCCACCCACCAACGAAGAGGGTTCCCACCGCGCCGCACCCCCGACCCGCACACTGGGCCCACCAGGAGCCGGCGGGTGTGTGTGTGGGGGGGGGGGTTGTGAATCCCCACGGCGCAGGCGCACGGGCTCCGTCCTCCGAGCCGGGGCGGAGCCGAGCGGACCGTTTAGGGGCGGGGCCGCGCCCGCGACCCCGAGCGTGCCCCGGAAGCGGAAGCGGGCGGCCGCTTCTTCCGGGCGGCTGGTTCGAGGATTTGTTTTGTCACAAGCGGCCGTCGGCCGGGCCTCCGCGGCGGGCCGCGCCATGCCGTCCGAGAGCCGCTGTTGGGAGACGCTGCGGGCGCTGCGCAGCTCCGAGAAGGGCCGCCTGTGCTACCACCGCGACTGGCTGCTGCGGGGCGAGGTGGGTGCGAGCCGGGGCTCGAGGCTTCGCGGGCTGCCGACTCGGGGTTCCCGCGCCCCGCCCCGCTCCCCCCAGCTGTGTCCCTCCCGCCCCCCCTCCGTCCAGGTGTGCTGGGATGTTGCGCTGGCTGGGCAGCCGCGTGGACGCCGGGAGGAGCGAGTGGGTCTTGGCTGAGCCCTTCGTACCGGGGCCGTGGAGGCCGCCCTAGCCTCACGGGGCTCAGGCCTTTGGGCACAGCCAGGGGTGCCCTCTGGGATGCTCCTGGCTGTGCCCTGGACGCGCCCAGCTGTGCGGGGCCTTCTCCCAGCTCTCTGGCGCGCGGCCAGGATTTGCTCCTCCCTCCCCTCCCCCCCACCCTTGTCTTATTTGTTTCTGGGGTCACTCGGGTCCGCAGGTGCTCTGGGGACCCAGCTATACTACCTGGGAGTCGACTGCCTGCAAGGCCGGGGCCCTAACCCGATCTTAGCTCTCGATTTCCATCTGTTTTGTTTTGTTGTGTTTTGTTTGGGGGCCACACCCAGCGGCGCTCCAGGGCCCGGTGTTCCTCGGAGCTCAGCTCAGGGTCCCTGCCCAGGGCCCCTGCCCCTGTGGCTTTGGGATGGGCTGCCTCTTACCGCCACTCTTGACTTTTCCTTTTTTTTTTTTTTTTTTGCTTTTTGGGTCACACCCAGCAATACACAGGGGTTGCTCCTGGCGGTGCTCAGGGGGCCATATGGGATGCTGGGAATTGAACCCAGGTTGGCCGCGTTCAAGGCAAACTCCTACCTGCTGTGCTATTCCTCCAGCCCCTTATCCATTCTTTTATGGGTCTTTTTTTTTTTTAGCCACTCCCAGCTGTACTCTGGGCTCTCTCCCTGTGGGCTCGAGGGACCCTTTGGGGTGCCGGGAATTGAGGCGCAAGGCCAGAGCCCTACCCCCTTTAGTTTCACTCTGGCCCCCTTTTCTGCTTTTTCTGTGCTTGTTAAGGCCGGTGCTTGGCAGGTGACCCCTGGCAGTGCTCCCCACTGTGTGATTGGGGGGCCGCGGAGAATGAAACCAGGGCCTGCAGGTACTTCGCTTGCGGGGCTGTCTCGCTCTTGAGTTTGCTTATTTGCAACTTGACTTTGACTGTAGCATTGTAGCACTGTCCTCGCGTTGTTCGATTTGCTCTAGCGGGCCCAGTAACTTCACCATCATGAGACTTGTTACTGTGTTTGGCGTATTGATGCGCTCTGGGGAGCTTGCCAGGCTCTGCCGTGCAGGCGGGATACTCTCGGTAGCATGCGGGCGCTGGGAGAGGGGCGGAGGAATTGAACCCCCGTAAGCACATGCCTTGTGTGCTCTGGGTTCAATCCTTAGTCACTTCCACCCAACACACACAAGTGCCCCCGCCTCACTGGAGGTGGTCTGATCCCCCAGCACTGCTGGGAATTGGGAAGACACCAAAAGTTCTTTTAAAAGTTAAATACAGGGCTGGAGCTACAGTATAGCGGGTGGGACGTTTACCTTGCATGAGGCTGACCCGGCTCCCAAGCAGAACCAGGAATAACCCCTGTGCATCACCTGGTGTGACCTAAAAAGCAATAAATAAATAATTTTTTTTTTTTTTTTTTTTTTTTGCTTTTTGGGTCACACCCGGCAATGCACAGGGGTTACTCCTGGCTCTGCGCTCAGAAATTACCCTTGGCGGTGCTCAGGGGACCATATGGGATGCTGGGAATCAAACCCAGGTCAGCCGCGTGCAAGGCAAATGCCCTACCCACTGTGCTATTGCTCCAGCCCCAAAATAATTTTTTTTTAAAGTTAAATACAGAAGAGGCTAGAGCGATAGCACAGCAGGTAGGGAGTTTGCCATGCACGCAGCCCACCAGGGTTGGATTCCGAACATCCCATATGGTCCCCTGAATACTGCCAGGAGTGATTCCTGAGTGCAGAGCCAGGAGTAACCCCTGAGCATCCCTGGGTGTGACCCAAAAGGCAAAAATAAAGAAAATAAAAGTTAAATACAGAAAAGTAAAGCAAGATGAATGATAATATTAATTATCCAAGACTAACCAGTTTTTTTTGGGTTTGTTTTTTTTTTTGGAGTGGTAACCTTTTTTTTTTCTCTTCTTGTCTCCTCTTGGTTATTTTTGTAGTACCAGGGATCAAACCACAGCCTAGCATTTGTTTTAATTTAGGTGATTGTGGACATATTTTTGTTTTTTTGGGCTACATATGGCAGTACTCAGGGCCTACACCTGGCTCTGTTAGGAATCATTCCGGGCAGGCTCGGGAGATTGAACCCAGGGTGACCGTGTACAAGGCAAACACCCTCCCCAGCTGTGGATATACTTATGCTTTTGTTGTTGTCAATTATAGTTATTAAGATTAAAAATGTTTGTCATTATGTTATTAGTTTTTAATTTACTGTGCCAGATACCAAACCCTAGGGCTCGTGCTCCAGGTATATATGGAACACATGTATATAGCCACAGTCCCGGAACCACGTGACTCCAGTGTTTGTAATGACTAACAGTCACTGATTGTGGCTTTGGTTTACTTCAGGATTCATTTTTTCTGACTCTGTTTTTATTATTCTTTTAAATTTTACTTTTATAAAGTTGTTCAAAATAATTGATTACATTTAATATTCGAACACCAATTCCACGATCATTACACCGTCCCACCACCATATTTCGCGTGTTTCCATCCTGGACCCCAAACCCTGCCTCCAGAGCAGAACTGAAGTGATTTTTTTGTTTGTTATGAATAATCTGCTAAAAATGATCCAAAAACGTTTTCTTAGAGGAAAGAGTGTGAAGATTGTTATATTTCACCCAGGAGCTATTAAGTCCTTTTATAAGATACTAGTAAAGTGTTGTTAAAGGTTAAGCCTCGTGTGCTTTTATATATATATCACTTCATCACTTGACATCCCGTTACTCATCAGTTTGCTCGAGCGGGCACCAGTAATGTTTCCACTCATCCCTGCCATGTGCTAGTGTAGCCCAATGGTGTCTGCTCGCTCCAGGAACACGAAGAGCCTCAAACCGATGGTTCAGGGTCTTGACGAAGAAGTCTGACCATCTTGTAGGTGGGCGGACACGTGATCTTTTGATGTCCCATGGAATCCAGTCAGTAACAGCTCTAGTCCAGCAGTCGTCTCCAAATCGCATTACGTGTCCAGCCCATCTGATTTTCTGCATCTTGGCAAACGAGACAGCGGCTCTGATTCTCGATCGTCGACGGAGGTTGGAACTCCGGATTCTTTCTCTCACTTGAGTGAAGCGTGATATTCCAAGCATAGCTCTTTCAGTTCCTCTTTGGGAGACCCGAATAGCGTTCTCATCCTGTTTTCATAGGGCCCAGGTCTCTGAGGCATATGTTAATGCAGGAAGAACAGTGGAATTGAAGAGATATGCCTGGAGCCAGAGGTTCTTCGTCCTCTTAGCTATTTCTTTGACGCTCTTGAAGGCATTCCAAGCCACTCTCTTCCTCCTTTGCAACTCAGGTGCCAGGTCATTTGTCACGTTGAGTTCTCGACCTAGGTACGCATAACTGTTTCATTAGGAGATGTTCGTTTCGTTGAGAGCAAATGGAACGTCAGGAACAAGTCTGTTTCTCATAAACATTGTCTTGGTGAGATTCAGCTGCAGTCTGACCTTTCCACATTCATGGTCAAAGTCGGCCAACATTTGTGCCGCTTGGCTAATGTTTGGTGTTATTAGAACAATGTCATCAGCAAAGTGGAGGTGGTGTAGTTGCTGGCTGTCTATCTTCAGTCCCATTTCTTCCCATTCCAGTTGTCACATGATGTTCTCGAGGGTGGCACTGAATAGTTTTGATGAAATGGTATCACCCTGCTGAACCCCTCTCGAGGTCTATGATCACTTCCTTGTAGAATGGTGAGCAAATCTGTAATACAGCTCACAGAGGATCCTGATGTATTGAGTTTGAATGCCCTGTTTGGCTAGGGCTTCGATAACCACTTCAGGCTCAACAGAATCAATGGCCTTAAATAATCAACGAACGTTAGAGTGGCATCTTGAACTCCCAAGAAACCTCAATGAGCATGGTTACCTTATATATGTGTGTGTATATATATATGCATGTATGCATATATGTATGTATATATTTGTCCCTTAGGTTGGTTGCCTTCTACTTCAAACTCCATCAAATGTGGTGTGTTACTCTTGGTATATCAGTGCTGTAAAGTACAAGATTCGCGACTGCGCAGTCCAGGAATAGATTCACTCATAAATGAGGCTCATCTGAGCATGTGGAGAGTGGCCGAGAGCAGGGCTGTGATTGAGTTCTGGAGATTTTCGGCTTCTGGGACTGGCTCCGTTGAGGTGGGGAGGGGAACTCACCTGCCCCTCTAGGTTGCCCCGAATGAAACAGCCTGGCGTGGGCCTGGAGGCATCTCTATGGCGTATCGTTCTGTGCTCTCTTCCGAGAGATTTATTGTTGCGTCTTTCTTGGAGTCAGTTTGAGATTGCTTTCAGCATCTCTGTTGTTCTGCTTACTATGGTCGGGCTTATACTTAGTCTGATACTAGGAAAATGCAGGTGTCAGGATCATCAAGAAACTCTACATATTGGGGCTGGAGCGATCTAGTATGGTAGGTACAAACCTAAGCACCCCACATGGTGTGTGTGAAGTGCAGAGGCGGGTGGAACCCCTAAGCAATGTCAGGTATGGCCCCCAAAACAAACAAAAACATACATACATTTGGGGCTCCAGCTTTGCCCGCAGCCAGCCTCGGTTCCATTCCTGACACCCCATGTAGTCCTTTGAGCCCTTGAGGAGTTGATTTCTGAGCACAGAGCTAGGAACGGGGGAAATAAGACAATTCTTCTGTGTTCCATGTACTGGCTTAGTTTTCCGTGGCCTTCTGTTGAGGCGTGGAGTGGAAGTACAAGGACAGAAGTCCGTTGTGCACGTTGTGCTTAGTCTGCCTCCTCTCCCCAGGATGTTCTAGAAGGATGCATGTCCGTTCCCAAGCTCTCTCCTTACTCCGGATGGGTGGTGGATCACGTGTTACCTCACACAGAAGAACACGTGCCTCCTTTGGAGGCGTCAGCAGCCACTAGATCGTCTTCGGGCCTGGACAGGTCTTCCTGCGTCCCCACATCCCCAGGAAGAAACACTGCCTTCTCTCCTGTGTTCCCAGAAACTCCAGATGGAACCCAGGTAAGGGGGAAGGTTTCCCTCATGCCTGAGAGGGCCTGAGAGGGCCTGAGAGGGAAGGCGGGGCTGGGGACGGAGCCCTCGCCCCAGGGAGAGCGCAGCTGGTACAACACGGAGGGCACTTTGCTTCTACACAGCTGCTTTCCAGCACCCCGTGTGGTCCCCTGAGCCCTGCCCGGGGCGATCCCTGAGTGCAGAGCCAAGAGTAAGTCCTGGACCAAAAAGGGCGGGGAGGGGGAGAGATGCGCTGGGGGCTTGACGAAGCAGTGCCTACCCCCTCAACCAGTTGCCCTTGCTGACCAGACCCTTTTCTGGATTCTTCGTACCAAGAAGAGTCATGTCACGAGTGCTTAGGTGTGTTGTTTTCCGGGGTGTTGTATTTGTTTTACCCGTAAAAATGTGTTTTTGTGTTGGTGAACAGAAGGAGTCAAAACTTGTCCTTGCTCTTAAAATGTATGAACCAGGACTGGAGCTCAGTGAGGAGGGCATTTATGCCGACCCGAGTTCAATCCCTGGCATCCCATATGGTTCCTCAAGCACCACCAGGAATAATTCCTGAGTGCAGAGCCAGGAGTAACCCCTGAGCACTGCTGGGTGTGGCCCAAAAAGAACAAAAAAATTATGGACCGTATCGAAGGTGCTGTGTGTTTTTAACCAGGTTTTGGGGGCTTTGTTGCTCCCTCTTAAAAAAGCTAAACTGTGAGTCAGGGCCAGAGAAGTAATGAGATACTTGCTGTGCATGCTGCTAACCTGGGTTCAATGCCCGGCACCTCATATGGTCCCTTGAATACAGAGTCAGGCGTAAGCCCTAAGCATCACTGGTTGTGGCCCCCAAACCACAACCAAACCAATTAGTAAAATCAGGCTGTTACCTACCAGTGTATGTGGGTTTCCTCCTCCCCCCCCCCCCCCGTACACCCCCCCCATCTTTTCTTATTTTGATTATTAACTTTTTTTCATTTTTGGTTTTGGGGCCATACCTGGTGGTAAGTCAGGGATTACTCCTGGCTCTGTGCTCAGACATCACTCCGGGTAGGGCTTGGGGGATCAAGTGGGGTGCCAGGGATCAAACCTGAGTTGGCTGTGTGCGAGGCAAGTGCCCTATGTTCTCTCTCTCCGGCTTGAAGAGTATACGTTCTTTTTCTCCTTTTGTGGGGAGGTTTGGAGGAGTGGGAGGAATTGGGCCACACCAGCGGTGCTCTGGTCTCACCTCGGTGCTGTTGAGGTGCCGTGTGATGCTGGAGGTTAGACCTGGGCCTCCCACATGCGAAGGACACTTAGCCCTTTGGTGGTGTTTGCTTGCTCAGAGGCCACACCTGGCTGTGCTCAGGAATTGGCTTACACTGGTTCTGTGCTCAGGGTTTACTCCTGGTGGTGTTCAGAGCATCCTCTGTGTCCTCCGGGGTCAACTCTGCAACGCAGGTGCCCTCAGAGCTGTTCTCTCTCTCTGCAGCCCCTGAGAAGCTTGGTTTATTTGTTCCCTCTGCAGGGCAAGCATGACTCTCAGCACACAGAACCCATGGCCCTTCAGTCCTGCCGGGGGATGAAGGTGGAAGGCTGTATCCGGATGTATGAGCTGGTGCACAGGCTGAGAGGCACGGTACGAGATGCTCAGGCGTGTTCCCTGTTCAGGTGGGAAGGTGCTAAGATGGGCGTCAGGGACGGACTGAAGTCGGGTCTCAGCCTCGCGCTGTTCCACGTGCTGCCGGTGGACATCGTTTAGACCCTGGCTCCCGTTCACTTTGCCACGTGTCGTTTGTGTGTCTGGGGAAGACCACCAGCACCACAGCTTGCCTGGTGGTCTGGGAGCCTCACCCAGGGCTCGGAGGTGCCAGGCGTGTGTCTGCCCTCGAGCCACATCCTCAGCCCGTCTGGAAGATTGTTTTTTTCACAGGTGCCGTGTCCAGCCTTGCCCAGGGGGCCTGCAGGCCATTTCTGATGTTGCTCAGTCTGGCAGTGGGTTCTGTGGCCTGCCAGGTAGTGCCCAGGGTGCTGTGCTGTGCTGTGCTGTGAGTTCCTGCGACTGTTCCAGCTGCAGACGGCTTAGCACACAGGGCAGGGCACTTGCTGTGCTCTCATACTTGCTTGGAGGCCACACCCAGCTGTGCTCAGGAAGTGGCTTACATTGGTTCTGTGCTCAGGGTTCACTCCTGGTGGTGTTCAGAGCATCATATGTGTCCCTGGGGTCAGCTGTGCAAAGCAAGTGCACGGGGATTTGATCCCTGCACCTGCAAGTCCTCTGAGCCCACTGGGAGTGATCTGTGAACAGAGAGGCAGGAGTAAGCTCTGAGCACTGCCGAGTGTGGCCCCAAACCAAAACACAAGAAGCGTTGTCCTAACTGGCTTCTGCAGAGTGCTCCGGTGAGCTGTCTGCAGGCTGCGGGCCAACGGGGCTGCCCGAAAGGCATGGGAGTTTTCTTTCTTTTTTGTTTTTTAATTTTGGTGTTTGGGCCATACCCAGCAGTGCTCACTCCCACTGGAGTCGGGGGACCACAGGCCAAGTGGGAGAGCTCTCTTCCAGCTGAGGTCAGAGGGCAGTTCTGGGCTGAGGCTGCAGCTCCTCGGTGGAGCCCTTGCTCCCTCCTCAGCGCCCTAAAAGTAAAGTTTAGCCTCAAGGGAGAGTCTGCCTGGGTTTGGAGCTGCCCGTTCTGTGCACACAAGTGCAAGAGGAGATCCTGGCCTCGGTGCCCTGCGGGGAGGGGGTGTGGGCCTCAGCGCCCTGCTGCTGCATTCCAGGAAGGCCTGCGGCAGTGGCAGGAGGAGCAGGAGCGGCGGGTGCGAGCCCTCTCCGAGATGGCATCCGAGCAGCTGAAGCGCTTCGACGAGCACAAGGAGCTGAAGCAGCACAGGGAGTTACAGGACTTGCGGGAGGTGATGGAGAAGAGGTGAGCGCCCGTGCTCTGAGGCCTGGGGCGGAGCAGCCGGGGCAGGGGAGTGGGGGGGAAGACTGGGCCTGGCTTGCTCCTGACGCCCTCCCCCACGCGTTCCCCGTGCCTCCTTGCAGCTCCCGAGAAGCCCTGGGGCAGCAGGAGAAGCTGAAAGAGGAGCACACCAAACGAGCCCAGGTCAGGGCCCAGGGTGGCGTGCCGGCTCAGGGTCTGGTGCTGTGCACAGGGGCTGCCCCCTGGGCTTGCCAGCCCCGAGGCCCTCGCTGAGGGGGGACCGTAACTGCCTTCTCTGCAGATTCTCAATGGAAAGCTGCTGAAGCTGCGGGAGGCAGAGCAGCAGCGCCTGAAGCTGGAGGAGCAGGAGCGGGCCCGGCGGGAGGAGGCCGAGGACCGCCGGCGCAGCCTCTACGCCCTGCAGGAGGAGCTGCTACACCTGCACCAGCAGCTTGAGGCCCTGGCCCAGCGCCAGGACCTGCTCAAGGGCGACCCCTCGGCCTTCCGCACCCGGGGCAACCAGCTGTGCGGGCAGATCTCCGCTATCATCCGCAACTCCAGCTCCACCGAGGTGATGCATCTGCTGGCTTCAGCCCCATGCTACCTGTCCTCTGATTGTAGACATGATTGGAGACGAGCACCTGCCACTCGGCTCCTTCCTGAGAGGAGGGAGGGAGGGAGGGAGGGAGGGGAGGAGGGCGAGGGAGAAGGTCACTGGTATTGGACGGGATTTCCCCAGTGTGTGTGGTGCTAGTGGTTCTGTTTGTCACCTAACATTGACTTCTAAAAGCTTACCTATAGCCATAGATAATTTTAGGTTCTTAAGTTACAAAAATTGTTTGGGGCCAGTGAGATAGGGCAGCGGGGAAGGTGCTTCTCTTCTCCTTTCCCAGGTCACCCCTGCATGTTGATTTCACCCTGGGCACTGCATTGAGTTTTCTGAGTCCCCACCAGGAGTAAATCCTGAGCACAGCTCAGTATGCCGTGCTCCCCCCTCCTTTTTTTTTTTAAATCTAACAGGTATGAGTACCACCAGGAGTGATTCCTGAGTGCAGAGCCAGGAGTAACCCAGGTGTGGCCCAAAAACCCAAACTGAAAAAAAAAAGTCCTGCAGGTAGGGCACTCCTGAGCCCACCAGGAGTGACCCCTGAGCATAGAGCGAGGAGTAAACCTTAAGGAGACCTAGATATGGCCCCAGTTTCTTTCAAAATTGATTTATTTGACATTCGAACACTGAGAACTTGAAGCATTTGTCTTGTGCAGGCAGAGGGTCTGAGCCTCCCGGCTGGGGGTGCATTTCCACAGCATGGCTCGGGTCCTGTGCTGCCGAGGACTGAGCAGGCCTTCCTCTCCTGAGCCATCTCTGTCCCCTTCTCTCCAGGCCAGCATCTTTGGTTCTCTTTCTGGCTTTTGTTCACCTTTGTCAATGTGAAATTTCAAAACCAGTACTGAAGTAGAGAACAAATTAATGAGCCATGTGCACCCACTCGCCACCAAGGTGGTGCTCAGGGAGCCTGTCGCCTCTCATGCTGGTTAATGTTCAGCCGGCCAGGCTGGCAGTTCACAGAGGACGTGAAACTATTGACTCTTGCCGGGTCACTCCGCATGATGTGTGGGGCTGAGTCCTGTCTTAGATAGATGTGCCTTTTCCCCTTTGACTAGATCTCCCCTCCCCATCCCCAGTATCATTTAAAAAAAAGTTATTTTGGGGCCAGAGCAATAGTAAAGTGGTTAGGGTATTTGCCTTGCATGCAACGAAACCAGGTTTGATCCCCGGCATCCCATATGGTCCCCTGATCCTGCCAGGAGTGGTCCTGGAGTGCAGAGCCAGGTGTAACCCCCAGGCACTGCCAGGTGTGGCCCAAAAACAAACAAAAACTTTGTTTTGTGTTTGTATCACAGTAGACTGTGTTCAGGGCTCTGCACTCGGGGATCACTCCTAGCGGGGCTTACGGATTCCTGGGGGGTGCCAGGAATCCAGCCCAGAGCGCCTATTTGCCAGGCCAGTGCCCTCCTCACTGTACTACCACTCTCAGACCCAGTAACTTTTTGTTGTTGTCCTCTGTGGGTCTTGGGTCACACCAGCAATGCCCGGGTTTCTTCTGGCTCCGCACTCAGGAATTAACTCCTGGCGATGCTTGGGGGACCATGTGGGATGCAAGACAAGCGCCTTCTCCGCTGTACTCTATCTCCAGCCCCAGTCTCAGTGCTACAGAATGGTCCCAGTCTGTGTAAATGAGAGCAGGGTCAGATGTGTACTTGATACCCTGGGTTTGGGCGGGGTGGGGATGGTGGGTCAGCCAATATCGCTCATGTCCGCCTGTGCAGTGTGGATCCCGTGGGTCCAGCCATGCCCGGGCTGGAACTGTGCTAGCCTGCATGCATTGCGGCTCAGCCCTGGCAGTGTCGGCGATGACCTCTAAGCTCTGCCTCTGTCGCTCTGACAGAACCGCTCTCCCACAACAGAGGACCAGGCCGAGGCAGAGAGAGCGCTCCAGGAGATGCGGAGCCTCCTCACCAACCTGCAGCAGGAGGTGGCCATGGCCTGCGAGGACAAGCGGCGGCAGGAAGAAGAGGTGGCTCGGGCGAAGCTTCAAGAGACCCAGATGCAGAAGGCGCCCGAGGTCCGCAAGGACGTCCCAGCTCCCAGCCAGGGCTTGGGAGGGAAACAGAGCGAAGGTGGGTTTGGCTGTGTGGTATGTGTCCCCCGGGCTCAGAACTTGGTTGTGGGCAGAATGGGAATCAGTGGCTCGGATCGTGTGGAAGTCCATGAAGCAGCATACCAGAGGGGAGCCATGCTTCATACCAGGAGAGGTTTTCAGAAGGCCATAGAGAGAGTACAGTGGCTAGAGCACTTGCCTTGCACGCGGCCAACCTGCCATCACATATGATTCCCCGAGCCCCTCCAAGAGTGATCCTGAGGCCAGAGCAATAGTCCAGAGGGGAGGGCACTTGCCCAGGATCAATCCCCGGCCTCCCTATGGTCTGCTGAGCACCACCAGGACTAGTTCCTGAGTGCAGAACCAGGAGTATCTCCTGAGCATCACTAGGTATCACCCCACCTCCCAGAAAAGTGATCCCTGAGTACAGAGCCATGAGTGTGGCCTGAGCATCTTGTGTGGCCCAAAAAACAAAACCAAAAAGAATTTTTAGTAAGGACCCAGTACTTGGAATTCTGTGTGATTCTACTACCAAGTATTGATGCCCTGAGCCCTTCATTTTTGCAGGGAGTGGGGCGGTGGTTACCCCCAGTGAGGCATCTGCATTCTCAGCATCTGACCCAGGCTTTGAACATTGATCTCTTCCGCTCCTGAGTATTTTAGTGTTTGGTTTTAGAGCCATTCGTTCAGGGCTTACTCCTGGCTTTGCACTCAGGGACCACTCGTGGGCAGGGGCAGGGTTGGAGCGCCATACAGGATGCTGAATATGGAGCGCAGGTCAGCCAGCACGGCAAGCACCCCCTCCGCTGTACTGTCGCTCTGGCCCTCCTAAACAGGTGAACTTACAAGTCAATCCGTGTAAAATCTCTGTCCGCTCATCACTCGGATGATGCGTGCAGCATGACAGTCAGGAAAGCTGACTTTGGAGCCCGGTCACTGGTGTCTAGTTTCCCAGCCTCCCAGCAGTGCACCTTTGGCAGATGCCATTTCTTTTCCTCTCCTGGGTCATTGTTAAGTTGGTGGCTTCGAGACGGGAGACACAGTGAGCTGAGCTCAGGGTTTGCTTGCTGGGGACTTTGTTTCTCTCCCCAGTGCTGCATGGCTCTTAAGCACAGCCAGGGAAGGGAACCCATGCAGATGTGAGCCACATCTGCTCTCGTGGGTGGACGTACCATGAGACCGTTTCTGGGTCTGGCGGGTAATTCGGGCAGGGCTTGTGTTGGGTGAGCACTGATCTCAGGCCTCCTCTGTCACTCAGAGCTGCAGGTGAAGGTGCAGGACAGCACCATGCAATGGTACCAGCAGCTGCAGGACATTTCCAGCCAGTGCATGTTGGCCTTTGATGGCCTGGCCAACGGCAAAGATAGTCAGGTAGGTTGGGGGTTGGGCCTCCAGCTCTGGCAGCCCCCAGTCTCTGGGAGCAGCGCGGGCTTCCTGTTCCTTCCCTGCCCGGATTCAACAGCCTTTTGCAACCCTGTCTGTCTGCCTCTTGTTGTCTCTGGCAGACCAAGAAGATCAAGATGGACCTCCAGAAGGCGGCCACCATCCCCGTGAGCCAGATCTCCACCATTGCAGGTGAGTGGCCCTTCGCTTCCTTGGCTGCTTTTGTTTGCTTCTGGGCCACACCCAGAGATGCTCAGGGCTTACTCTTTTTTTTTTTCTTTTCTGGATCACACCCAGCGATGCTCAGGGGTTACTCCTGATTTTGGACTCAGGAATCACTCCTGGCAGTGCTCAGGGGAACCATATAGGATGCTAGGAATCAAACCCGGTGGCCGCATGCAAGGCAAATGCTCTACCCGCTGTGCTATTGCTCCAGCCCCACAGGGTTTACTCTTGGTTCCGTGCTTAGGGCTCACTCTTAATAGGGCTTACAAACCCTGTAGGGGCCTGGGGATTGAATCCAGGTTGAATCCTACCCACTGTACCATCTCTCTGGTCCCTAGAAGATTTTTCTTAAGAGGTGTGAGACTCCTTTAGGATAATCACTCGTGGCCTCTGAGGCCTGGAACGTGTTTACTTTGATCCCTGAGTGCAGAACCAGGAGTTCCTGGTTTGATCCCTGTCCTGGTCATCTCTTTCTTTCCCGTTGCTTCGTTCAGCATCCCCAGTGTGCTCTGCTGCTTTTGCGTCACACTGAGTATTCTGTTGTCCTCTTTCTCTGAGGCACCATCTCGGCCCTCTGAAGGGGCTGCTGTGGGGTTTCTCTTTGGTAGGCCGGTGCTGAAAGCCGGCTTGACCACGCTCTCTCTGTCGTGCCCAGGCTCGAAGCTGAAGGAGATCTTCGACAGGATCCACAACCTGCTCTCTGGGAAACCGGTGCATTCCGGGGGACGCTCTGTGTCAGTCACTCTCACCCCACAGGGCCTGGACTTTGTCCAGTACAAGCTGGCGGAGAAGTTTGTGGTGAGCATCCTGATTGCCAGAGGTGGACAGGAGAGGCTGGTCCCGGCCTTCCCTTTCCCCCACATGAACCTCACCTGGCCCCCCTTGTCCCCCGCCCTTGCCCTCCTAGAAACAAGGAGAAGAGGAGGTGGCATCCCACCACGAAGCTGCCTTCCCCATCGCTGTGGTGGCTTCCGGGATCTGGGAGCTGCACCCCCGGGTGGGGGACCTCATTCTTGCTCATCTCCACAAGAAGTGTCCTTACTCGGTCCCCTTCTACCCAGCTTTCAAGGAGGGAATGGCTCTGGAGGACTATCAGAGGTGACGGGCTTCTCTGCCCACTGTCCTGTCCCAGTCTGGGCGGCTTTGGGAATGTTTGGGCGTGGCCAACAACTGTCAGTGTTGTTTGGGGATAAGGACTCTGGCTCTGAGTCCAGGATCTTATCCCTGCTTTGGGGGAGAATCATCTTGAACTCTCGGAGCATTAGTTTTGTTATCAGTGAAGGGAGTGAAGGCTGGAGCCAGAGTACAGCAGGGAGTACTTGCCTAAGGCTGACCTGGTTCGACCTCAGCATCCCTAAACCCCCCTAGCTTGCCACGAATGATCCCTGAGCCAGTAAAATATACTCTTAAGTGACAGGGGATGTAGGTCAGTGCTGGCCTGTCATGTCTGAGGCCCTAGAGTTTCATTTTTGGCTTCACCTCATCTCTGATTTGTCGCCCTTGCTTTAGCTATGACACCTTTTTTTCTTTAATTCCCTTCAGGAGTCTTGGTTACCAGGTAACAGATTCCAAAGTGGAACAGCAGGACAACTTCCTGAAACGCATGTCTGGGATGATCCGTCTCTATGCGGCCATCATCCAGCTCCGGTGGCCGTATGGGAACCGACAGGAGGTAGGAGACTTTCTCAGACACTGAGAAGGGCTCAGGCCCGAGTGTCCTGTGTCTGTGGGTGCAGAGAGCGGGGTCTAACACGGCGGAGACAAGAGTCCAGTACGGTCAGGTAGCGTGGAGAGGGGCGTCCAGTACGGTCAGGTTTATGCAACTTTAGTGCATGACATTCTGTTTGGTTCTCCGCCATCCTTAGTAGTGCTCAGGGGCTGCCCCGGGCCGACTCTTCAGGGATTACTTCTGGTAGTGCTCAGGGGCCCATACGGTACCAAGGTTAAAACTTGCAATACTTCAACATATAGAACATGTCTCTGCCCTTAGAGCCACCTCCCCAGCCCTGCTCCAAGGGTTTTTTTTCTGTTTGTTTTGTATGTGTGTGTTTCTTTTGATTCCTGGTTTTGACCATACCCAGTAGTACTGGCTCTGCACTTGGGGTCACTTCTGGTGGGTTCAGGGATGCCGGGGATCAAACCTGGGTTAGCCGAGTGTAAGGCAAGTTCCCTACCCTCCGCTCCAGCCCCACCCTGCTCCAAGTATTCTTAAAAGAGTTTATTTTGTTCACTAGAAAACCTGTGGCATCATTAAGGCTGGAGAGTCTCCTAGGAGAGGAATGAGGAAGAAATTGTCTTGTTGGACCTAACAGGTCATGTCCGTCATAGACTTGAGCTCACTGTAGGGTCCACTCTGTATGGTGATGGCGCAGTGGGCTTCAAGCCTGCTAGCCTGCTAGCCCAGTCTATCTCAAGGATGGAGAGTTCCAGAACTTGGGAACCTAAAAGAGAAAGGCGTATAAGTTGACTGGATCCAAAAGATTCTTAGTCATTGGGCACTTTCTGTGTCCCAGGTTCTGTGCAGAAGGAGCTGAGAACAACAATAAAATAACTAGCAAAGTGACTGTTAGTCTGTGAGTCCCCAAAGCTGGGGTGTTTCCCAGAGGGATCCTGTAAAAGTTGCATGGGCACCAACATTTCAGGACACTTGAACTTAGCATTTGTCAGGCCAGTGAGCGTGAACAAGCTCCGCAGGCTCAGCACGGGCTTTGCACGCATCAACCCAGGCTTGGACCCTGGGCACCACTGGGCCTGACTCCCAAGCCCGAGCTAGGAGTAGCCCCACACTAGGTGTGACCCTGAAACCAAAATGTAAAGATTTTGGTGTGTGACCCTGAAAGCAAAAATGTAAAGATTTTTCTTTCTTTCTTTCTTTCTTTTTTTTTTTTTTTTTGTGGTGGGGGTAAGGGGGAGATGTTGCCCATACCCAGCAGTGATCAGGGCTCACTCCTGGCTCTGCACTCAGAGATCATTTCTGATAGAGCTCTGGGGTCCTTATGGGAGCCAGGAATTGAATCAGGGTCGGCCTCGTGCAAGGGAAAGTGCTCTTTGCATTGGCCTGTTTTTCTGGCCCTCTAATCTGTGCCTTTTCTGCCTTGTGCTACGTGTTTGGGGTTATGCGATCTGGGGGTTCACTTTTAGTTCATTGGGACTCTGTGATAACCTGGGAGTATCAGTCACAACAAAATGATATCAGAGGGGCTAGAGAAATAGTAGAACAGCAGGTAGGACGCTTGCCCTGCATGCAGCCACCCTGGGTTCGATCCCTGGCATCACCTGTGGAATGGAGCCCCGCCTTGAGTGATCCTGAATGTTGCCGGGTTTGACACCTCCACACAGCAACAGCTGTAAGCAGCTGTCAGTATAATCAAGCCCCTCTCCTTCCAGGCTCACCCCCATGGCTTAAATCACGGCTGGCGCTGGTTGGCACAAATCCTGAACATGGAACCCCTGTCTGATGTGACCGCCACCCTTCTCTTTGACTTCTTGGAGGTACGTGATGTGGTTAGCACACAAGTGTGCCAGTGTTTGGTGCGGCCATGTCCTTCGTGCCATAGGCAGGTAGGTTGTACACAAGTCAGGTGGGTAGGTACCAGTGTCAGGGCTGGTGCCATCGTTAGACCGAAGACAAAGCTGGCTTTTGAATTTTGTTTCTTTAGGCCACACCTGGCGTTGCTTGGTGCTCACTCCTGGCAGTGCTCAGGGGACCTTATCAGGTGCCGGGGATTGAAATAGGTCAGTATGTACAAGGCAAATGCCTACCCACTGTACTATCGCTCCGGCCCCGACAGTTTTGATTTTTTTCATACTCACTTTTTTCTCGACGAATGGCTTCACATCATACAGATCCCAGAACTGTACATCCCCCGCCCAGAGTAGTGGCCAGAAAGGAAGTTTGTTTTGGGGTTTGGAAATAACTCTCTGAACCAACCCTTGGACGGGCTGATGTGTCTCCCGGTACCTGGAACCAGGAGCTGTGATGCCAGAAGGCCCCAGTCCGTCTCTCTCCAGCCACTTCGTGTCTGACCCCACCCCCCAACCAGATGTCGCTCCCTCTAGTCAGCCCAGCATTCTTTGCTTCTCCATCCTGACTGCCGCTCAGTCTCGGTGTGGGCATCTGGTGGTGTGCAGTCAGTGTCCCACCATTGTGGCCCCTAATTCCCAAAGGAGAAAGTAGGGCTGACCAGCATGGGTCTGGATCTCCCCCTTCCAGAAGGTTCTTACTGGCCTAGCTGCTGCTTGAAAGGCCACTTGAAGGTAGATGAAGGTAAAGCTTTTTGTGCAAAGGGCACTCTTCTTGGGTCAGAACCATAGTATGGTGGGTCGGGTGCTTGCCTTGAAGTGGTGCACCTGGGTTTGATCCCCGGCACCCCAGGAGGCCCTCCCAAGTACAGCCAGAAATGATCCATGCGTGCAGAGCCAGGAATAAGCCCTGGGCATTGTTGGGTATAGCCTCAAAAGGGAAAATAAAAAGAAGGCGGCATGTTTGATTGGGGATGTTGCTCAGTGGTAGATCGTGATCTCTGGCACCGCAGAAAAGTTTAAAGGATTTTTTTTTTTTTTACATAGACAAGTAACATTTATTTTGATTTTGGGGCCACACCTGGTGGTGCTTGGGGGTTTCTTCTGCCTCAGCACTCAGGGATTGCTCCTGGCAGGGCTCCAGGGACTGTAAATTGTTTTGGGGATCCAACCTGGGTCAGACCACGAGCAAGGCAAGAGCCCTTCTGCAGTCCTGTCTCTCCAGCCTCCAGTGTGTTGTTTTGGTTTTGTTTCTTTGCTTTTTGGGTCACACCTGGCAATGCTCAGGAATTACTCCTGGCCTCGCTGGGAGACTCTGTGGATTGCCAGGGATCGAACCTGGGTCGATTACTACAAGGCAAATGCCCTTCCTGCTGTGCTATCGCTCTGGCTCCAGGGGTGTGTTTCTGTGCACATCATTAAGTCAGTGGGCTACATTGTAGCATAGAGCCAATATTCATAGGCAGAAAACAAGGGTCATTTGTGTGATTTGCCTCTTTGTAGTGGTCTGGGTCTGACTAGTTTCTTAGGTTTGATTTATGTTTTCTGAAACATCAGCTACTGGCAATTGCATGAGAGTATTGCTGTCTACCAAGGAAGCTTCAGGAGAAAGCTGGATTCTTTCCACATATTCCCTTGTGGGCAAGCGAAGTGACCCAGGTTCTTGGTGGGTGTGGAAGGCCCGAGACTCCGCTTCAGACCCTGCTGAGGTGAAACCCCCCTTCTCTGTGCTTACTCTGCCTGTCTCGCTTCAGGTGTGTGGGAATGCCCTGATGAGGCAGTACCAGCTCCAGTTCTGGAAGATGATTCTTCTTATCAAAGAGGATTACTTCCCCAGGTATGGACCCCGAGAGCAGACCCTGGGGCTTTCACTCATTGAACTCAGGACATCCAATACCCCGGCGTGCTCTTCCTTGCTGGTGAGGCCCTGCCCTCTCTCACCTCTGCTTTGTTCCTGCAGAACACACTGGCTCTCTGATGAGTCTCCTGTTCTGTTAGTAAGTGAAACTCGGAGCTCTGAGCATCTCTGATTCCTGAGACGTCTTCGGTTTGAGGGTGTTTTTCTGTGATGGAAGAGCCCGGGTCTCCACATACAGTGTCTATATCCCCAACCCTGACCCCTCTTTTTTTTTTTTTTTTTTTTTGGGCTCACGTGGTGATGCTCACAGGTTACTCCTGATTATACACTCAGGAATTGCCTCTGGTGGTGCGTGGGGACCATATGTGCTATGGATATCAAACCCAAAACCCAGGTTGGCTGCATACAAAGCATTGTACTATATCCAGCCCCACCCCCTCACATCTTTTCCGAACTCCTCCACATAGTCTGAAGTAGTGATTCTCTGTAGTCACGGTTGCAGGGGAGGAGTCCAGCCCCTTGATAAAATGGTGTTTGCTCGACTCATTTGATCTATTCACCTTCAAGTAGCTGCTTCTCAGCGCCTCATCATTTATGTGGGGACTCAGCTACACCCATCACCTCTGGGAAGGAACAGTGTTCTCTGCTCTTTTTTGGGGAGGAGGGTTCATACCCTAAAGTACTTTGGGGTACTCCTAACACTGTGCTCAATGACCATGCAAGGCTGGGATCAAATTTGCGCCTCCTGGGACTGGAGCAGGTAGGGCACTTGCCTTGCATGCGGCCAACCCATGTTCGATCCTTGGCATCCCATATAGTCTCCCATGCACTGCCAGGAGTCATTCCTGAGTGCGGTGACAGTAGTAAGCCCTGTGCATCACTAGGTGTGGCCACAAAACAAAACAAATCTGAGCTTCTTGCTGCACAGTCTGCACGCCAGCCCTTTGCTCCAGCTCCTTCACACGCTGCTTCTTGACCCCCTTGTTTGAAAAGAAAGTTGAGGTTCTTGGCAGGGAGACAGTTCCCTGGTCTGGAAGAGCCCAGTGAGTCGGCTGCTGCCTGCACCCCCAGCTGGGTGCTATGCCCAGCTGCAGCGCCCCGCCTCTGCTTTCTCTCCTGTAGGATTGAAGCCATCACCAGCTCTGGGCAGATGGGCTCCTTCATACGCCTCAAGCAGTTCTTGGAGGTAAGATTCTGCCCCTAGGCTGACCTACATCCTCAGACTCTGCCTGTCTGTCTGCCTGCCTGCCTGCCTGGCGATGTCTTCAGACCCTCTCTGTCCCCATTTTATCTTCTTCCTCTCTGTCACTCTTTGGGTGTGTGTCTTTGGGCCACACCTGGCGGTGGCCAGGGCTTGCTTCTGGGTCTGTCCTGTGGGATCACTCTTGGTGGGCCCAGGGGACCATGTGGGAGACTGGGGATCAAACCCGGGTCAGCCATGCATGTACAAGGCAAGCACCCTACCTGCTGTACTCTTGTTCTAGCCTGTCTCTTTGTCTCTTTTCACTGCCTTTGGGAAAGCTGTGCTAAGAGCAACAACAGCATGGTGCATGCTGTGTGTGTATGTGTGGGTGCGTGCGTGTGTGCCTGCGTGCATGCGTGCTTTTCCTGCTGCTGCTGCCGCTGGTTTGAATTTGGGGCCACGCCTGCTTGTGCTCGGGGACCACTCACTCAGTGCTTGGGGCAGCTCCTGCCATTTCCCCAGGCGCAAACCTGGATTTCCTGCAGGAAAGCAGCATCCCAGCCTCTTGAGGCCTCTCTTCAGCCCAAGTATGCTCACTGACATTTTTCAATCCTGGGGTTTGCTTGGTCATGCTTGGAGCTTACTCCTGGTTGAGTAATGGCTCGCGGGGCTCAGGGAATTATATAGGGTACGAGGGCATGAACCCTGGTTGACCGCATGCAAGGTCAGTGTCTTGCCTGCTCTACCCTCTTCATCCCCTCAATAGATTTATTTTTCGTAGTATTTGTGGTACAGGCAATTGTACTACACGTACAAGGCATGTCGTCTGAATGCCGAACCCCCTCACCAATACGTTTTTTGCATATTAGTCAAATTTTTTGCCTTGTGATTTATTTCTTTGGGGGATGGGAGTCTTCTCTTGCTGCTGGGGGCTACTCTTGGCAGTACTTGGAGGCCACCAGTACTTGAGTTTGCCACGCCTGCACACCAGCCCATCGGACCTTCTTCCTGACCAAGGGTCTTCTCTCAGTTTCCGGCCTGGGGAACGGGCGTGGGCTGTGGTCACTTGGCTCCCTGACATTTGACAGCGTTCAGACAGACCCTGAGCTGCCGTCAGTGCCTGAGGGTTTTGGAGACTTGTTTGGAGGATCCGGAATTCTGGCATCTGCCAGGGCAGCCTGCTGGCTTCCACATTGCTTTTGCTCACAAGCGACAAGGGCGGCACACAATGGACAGTGGCCTCTGCCCCTCACAGCACAACGGGTGCCCTGGAGCGGAACTGTCACAGCATCTCTGCCACTTTGTTAGGGGGCCACCCCAGCAGTGCTCATAGCTCTGCGCTCAGGGTCAATCCTGGCCGGGCTTGGGAGGTCATATGAGGCCGCAGGTGTGGAACCCAGGTTGGCTGCCGTGTGCAGAACAGGCGCCTTCCTTGCCCACTGGACTCTCGGCCCAGCCATCTGCGTTAGGTGTTGGTGGCACTCCCTGTGCCCTTTTGTGTTTCCAGCTGGTGCTGGCCGCGGTGCTATGGAATCACTGTTGCCTTCTCTCTCCCCGGCCAGAAATGTCTACAGCGCAGGGACATCCCCGTCCCCAAAGGCTTTCTGACGTCCTCCTTCTGGCGTTCCTGATGGCCTCCGTCACCCGCCGCCCACTGCCACCAATGCCACCCTGTGGTTCAGAGGCAATAAAAAGGCCCCCGGCCAACCGCCCGGCAGAAGTCTTGTCCCACATAGAAGTCTACCAATGTGTATTTTCATATATTTGTGCCTTGTGACATGGGTTGCAGAATCAAGGTGGTCCCTTAATACATTTGATGACCCTCTTCGGGTCTGTATGACAGACAGAGTCGGCCTTTCTCATTTCCCCACAAGTCAGGAGAAATGTTCCCGATCCCCGCCCTCCCTCTTGATGTTCTCCCATCTCAGCCTCGCCTCTCGCAGAAAGCAGGTAATACCATGGCCAGTTTGCCGAGATGCTGCGCCCGCCTCTCCCTCCCTCTTGACGCTCCCGTGGGTACAAGTGGGTTCAGGAAAGGAGACAGCTCCTGAGGTCCCGTCAGCTTCTCCCCAATCCTTCCAAGCTGGTCCGGGTGCTGGCGCTTCGTCTTCTTCGCTGGCGCCCCGACCTCTCCCATCTTACACCCGAGAGAGGCTTGTTGGGGATCAGGGTTTGGGCACGGTCACAGAGCAGCTCCGTCCACCTCTCGTGGGACGTCTGCTCCCCAGACAGTGCCACCAAGGGAGGCTGAGAACCACGGGTGCATTTCTGGCTCTCCGCTGTGAAGATGGGGCTTGCAGCATCACCGCCGCGCTGAGCCCGAGATGTCAGGGAGGAGCCTGTGCCGTGAGCAGTGACCGTGAGAGCCGCCCCGCTCCGGAGAGTAAGGGGCAAGCTGCCCGGGGCCTAGCTCTGTTGGCCGCAGCCTGCCCCCACCGCAGTGCAGTGGGAGTGACCCACTTTAAGAATTGTGAGTGCCGTGCCAAGAAAAATAATAAAACTTGATTTTAATGACGCTACTACCTCATTGGTTCTTCCTCCATTTCCTCAGCTCGATCTGGGGAGTCCTGGGGGTGGGCGGGGGGGGGGGTGGCAGGAGCCTATACCAGGGCCTCTGACACACACTTTACCATCCTTTTGGTCTTCACCTTGGGAAGTGGCATATTTTTTTGAAAAAAAAAATTCAATTTTAGTTGTTTTTTGGGTCATTACCTGGCCATGCTTGGCTTATTCCTGGCTCTGCACCCAGGGATCACTTCTGGCGGGTGTCAGGGAACCATACAAGGGAGCCATGTGCAGAGCAAACACCCTGCCTGCTGTAATACTGTTCTCACCTTTTTCCACACCAGCAACTGTCCCTTTTTTATATAGAGAAGTTCATTTCATGTGGACTCAACCAAAGGAACTGGGGCAGAGCCGTCAGACCAGGGCCCAGAGGCCCTTTCAGGTTTTGTGGCAGGGGCCTCATTCCCCCCACTCTGACACCTGCAAAACCAAAAGCGTTGACTCGTTCCCAGATGAGAAATTTCCAGATTGTGCTCTGGACAGTGTGGGGTCCTGGCGCACCTTCAGCTCCATGGGCTGGGGCAGCTGCAGCCCCTGAGTCCTTTGAGTTTCCAATGATGGGGTCCTGCGAACGAGGTGGGGGTCCACTTGGGAGGCACCAGACGGGGTGCTGGCTGGCTGGGACTGGCCCTGGAACCCGCCCATGGAGGCAGCGACACATTTTGTAAAATGCTCCCTCCAAGATGTTCCTGCCATCTGCTGGAGCCTCATCCTATTAATAGCCAGTGAGACTGGGCGGGCCTGGCGCTACTCGAGGCTCCGCACCCTGAAACGGGAGCCACGAAAGGGGATCCTCCGCATTGCTGCCTGCCGGGCTGCAGACACCGGCTTCCACGTAAGATGGATGTACACAGTCCACCACCAGGCAAGGCGTGGGCAGATGGTAGGGTGACGCGATTGTCAAGGCAGCTTCCAGGCTGAATCTGTACCCTCTCTAGAAGGAGCCTCTCCAGGGAGGGCATACAGTGGGTAGAGCGCTCGCCTCGCACGCTGCTGACACATGCTCAATCCCAGCATCCCATGTGGTTCCCCCAAGCCCCACCTGGAGTGATCCCTAAGCACAAAGCTGGGAGTCAGCACAGCACAGCCGGGGCGGTCCTCAAACAAAACGTCAAAAACGCCTCTTTGGAGACAGAGTGAGAGTACAGTGGGGACCTCATTTGCTTTGCACATTGCCAACCCAGCATTCCATATGCTGCCCTGAGCATCACCAGGAGTGATTTCTGAGTGCAGAGCCAGAGTAACCCCTGAGCATATGAACCAAAAAGTTAAAATACCTGACAGCAGGCTGGAGTGTCAGTACAGCAGGGAGGGCGTTTACCTTGCACGCAGCCAGCCAACCTAGGTTCGATCCCCGACATCCATGTGGTCCCCGATTACAGCCAGAAGTAATTCCTGAGTGCAGAGCCAGGAGTAGCCCTGAACATTACCAGGTGTGACCCAAAACAAAAAATACCTGCCGATTGCAGTAGACAAGTGAGCCGCCCAGCACATGTCATCGGATCCCTGGTGTTCCTGAGGGGTCTGGATGGCAGACCCAGACGGGACTTCGCCTAGGAGTAGCTGATGCCAGCTGCTCAAGTTTCCTCCGGGGTCGCGATTTCCAGAGATAGTGATGGCACATCAGATCCCTTAGGCCTGCCCCCGGTGCTGTGCTCAGCGATCACGGGCTCTCCTGCGCTACCCGCTTTCCTTCCGATTTTGACCTCATTTTTCAGGCGGACTGCCCAGATTTTTGTCATATCATTGGCCTAAATTTTGGGGGTTGGTGGGAGGGGTAGTTGAGGACATATCCAGTGGTCCTCAGCTCACCTGACTGTGCTTAGGGGTTCCTCCTGGTGGTACTCAGGAGAAAATGTGGTGCCAGGAATCAGACTCAGACCTTCCCCTGTGCTCAGGCTGTGCTCAACGCATCATTCTTTCTCTATACCTTTGATACCTTTTTTTTTTTCTTTGCTTTTTGGGTCACACCTGGTTATGCACAGGGTTTACTCCTGGCTCTGCACACAGGAATTACTCCTGGCTGTGCTCAGGGGACCACATGGAATGCCAGGAATCGAACCCAGGTTGGCCGCATGCAAGGCAAATGCCCTACCTGCTGTGGTATCGCTCCAGCCCCTGATACCATTTTTTATGTGTGTGTGGTTTTGCTTGTTTTGGGAGCCTGCCCAGTTGTGCTCAGAACTTATTCCTGACTCTATGCTTAAAGATCACTCCTGGCAGTGCTCAGGGGACCATATGTGGTGCAGGGGATCGAACCTGGGTCACTGTGTATGGTCTGACACGGTAAGAGGCATTTTCTGTGCTTCTTCGTTTGTTTCTGTGCTTCTTGCCCGCACATGCACGGGGTTTACTCCTAGCTCTTAGATTTCCTGTGGATCCTGTAAGGAAGCCAATGAGAGCTGAGGTCCTCCACCACATGAGGACTTTATAAAACTTCCATTGCAAAGGATTTTGCCTTAGAACCAGACTCCACTTTGGCGGGGGGGAGGGAACTGGGGGGAGCTTGGAGCACAGCAGGTAGGGCCTTGCACATGGCTGACCTGAGTTCAATCCCCGGCATCCCATATGGTCCCCTGAGTACTGCCAGGAGTCAGCCCTGAGCATCACTGGCTGTGTCCCAAAACCAAAGAAAATAATTTTTTCTCGTGATCAGAGCTATGAGTTCATTTACTGTTTCAGAAATTTTCAACCTATAAAAATAAGTTTTAGCATAAAAGCTTTGTAATGGTATCTCATGGTGATTCAATAAGTTTTAGGGACCCTGGAAATAGTATAGTGGTTAGGGCACATGCGCAGCATACGCCTGGGTCAGATGTTCAGTACCACGTGGTCCCCCAGATACCACCGGGGGTGACTCTAGAGGTCCCCAGCACGACCAGGGTGACCCTGGCACTATAGGCCTGAGCAACATCACATTTTGGGCCCCTGCAGTGAACTGGCCACATTGACTTGAGAATCACCAGTAGGATCCCCAGAGCTCCACTTGGGAGGTCACATCCTAAAAATGTTTTAGAAATGATTAGTCGAGAAGCATCTTTCTTGGGTAGAGCAATAGTACAGCAGACAGGGTACTTGCCTTGCAGGTGACTGACCTGGATTTGATCCCTGGTACTACATACGGTCTCCAATACCTGCCAGGAATGATTCCTAAGCACCACCAGGTGTGGCCCCTTCCCCATATATATATAAATATAAATATGTATGTATATTTTATTTAGCAACATATATACAATATATATTTTAGCTCTTTGAGATCCTTCTGGGATTTTTTTATGGGGGGATTGTTTGGCTTGGGGCACCTGGTGGTGCTCAGGACTTACTCCCAGCTCTCTGCTCAGGGACCACTCTGGTGCGCTCAGTCTTCAGGATTCTTCCACTGAGTACTGTAGTGCATGGTCTTGAAAGCTGAACCAGAGGTAAAAATCTTAGGAATGTCTCATGAAGGACATCAAGCCAATTGTCAAACTTCAATAAGGTCTATCAGTTAGATAATAAGGTAAAAGGTAAAGGTAAAGTCCCTCCCATTGTTCGTGGATTTGCTCGAGCGGGCCCAGTAACGTCTCCATTGGAGACTTTGTTGTTACTGTGTTTGGCATATCGAATACGTCACGGGGAGCTTGCCAGGCTCTGCTGTGCGGGCGAGATACTCTCGGTAGCTTGCCCGGCTCTCCGAGAGGGGCGGAGTAATCAAACCAGGTGCGGCCGGGCTGGCTGCGTGCAAGGCAATCCTGTCAACATTAATATTCTGACTTTGATCATTGAACTATGTTGATAAAATTGAATGTTTCTGTTCTTGTTTTTGGAGATAGAGACAGAATACCTGACTGAATGCCTGGAGCACAGCAGGTAGGGCGTTTGCCTTGCACAATGCTGACCTGGGTTTGATCCCCGGCATCCCATATTGTCCCCCAAGCACCGCCAGGGTGATCCCTGAGTGAAGAGCCAGGAGTAACCCCTGAGCATCTCTGGGTGTGACCCTCCTCCAAAAAACAAACAAAAAACAACTAAATAAGTACAAAATGCCTACACACCCTCACACCTGGCGATGATCAGGGGTTACTTCTGGCTTTGCACTCAAGAATTACTCATGGTGCTGGGGATCCAACCTAGGTCAGCCGTGTGCAAGCCAACGCCCTACCTGCTGTACTGCCATTCCTGCCCCACCTATAGTTCCGAGGGTGATAAAACCAAGCACTAGAATCTTTAGGATCACAGGGATAAGTTTCCTTAAAGTCAGCCAACCGTAGCAGAAACGGAAACTGGTCACTAAATAGACTTCGCAAACACTCCTTAAAAATGAAACAAGAGGGGCTAGAGCGATAGCACAGCAGGTAGGGCGTTTGACTTGCACACAGCCAACATAGCCGACCTAGGTTCAATTCCCAGCATCCCATATGGTCCTCCGAGCACTGCCAGGAGTAATTCCTGAGTACATGAGCCAGGAGTAACCCCTGAGCGTTTCCGGATGTGACCCAAAAAGCAAAAAAAAAAAAAAAAATTGAGGCGCATATGCTGCCCGAGCCTATGTGCTGCTTGTGCCCACGTGGCCGAGTACATGTGGCACCCGAGCACATGTGTCGCCTGCGTCTCCCCTCTTGAGATGTGTACTTTCATGCTTTTGTGTCTAGTGCTGGGATGTGTATAGGGGTTCTCTCTGCCCTTGAAGAAGCCCGCGGTCTCTCAAGTGCATCTCTCTCTCTCAATCTCTCTCTCTGTTCCACACCCACCACCACTATAAAACCCTCCCCATAAAATCTATTTTGCTTCAAAAAAATATATGAAACAAGAAGGGCCGAGAGAACAGTGGCTCAGGCACTTACCATGCACAGGGCTGGCCTCGGTTCCATCCGCCAGGAGTGAGCCTGGAGCAAGCGCCAGTAGGAAATAAGCCTTGAGCATAGCCAGGTGTGGCTCACAAACAGACAAAATACTTAAGTGAAAT